AGTCAGATGTACTGGTATGGATTTGGTAATAAGTTTTCTACCGGAATGGTAGTGGTAAATTTTAGATTGCCACTGCCTTACTAAACGGTAATGCCCATTATTGCCAGCACAGCTATACTCTGATCCGATCTCTAACGATTTTTCTACGGGTGTTAGACCGTTATTGGTAGAGTAGCATACTGGTACTGATTTGGTAATAACTTTCTACCCGATTGGTAGTAATTGATTTCTCCGTGGTAAATTTTCCATTTCAAAAACCTTACCTAATGGTACACACTAAATAATTTTGTGATAGGATTGCTACCGGCGGAGGTACTATGAAATTCTACCGTGTGGTTGGTAGCACTATGGTAATAATGACACTAAGGGTAAGTAATTGCTTCCAGTGTCGGTAATATTTTCGTTCCCAGAACATTGACATTAGGGACTGAGGAGTATTTAGCCTCTGCATATACATAAAATATTACCAAAGCGGTAAAATCGCGTGGTAACAATCTTATCATAATTTAGATTATAACGCTAGACTACCAGTGCCGGTAGAGTCACATACCTTAATAATACCATAATCAGTAACGATTTAACACCAAATTTTCTAAGAGTGCCCCAACCTCCTACTTGATGACTTATGAAACTATTTCGAATTGAGATAAGGGGCAGGAGTCAGAATAAAATAATTTATTAAGCTTCCCATCTTCTTGAGAAAGTGGTGCATAATAATTCCTTATCTCCTCTTTTGGCGAGAAGAGACGGGAAAAATGTGAATGTCTGATGGTTTGTGGGTCTGGGGAGTAATTTACTACGATGTGGGTTTGACTGTCGTGTCGTGTCAGTCGAAGAAGTCGTCGTATTCGTGTGTGATCATATTCCAGAGTGGAGAAAGTAAAGTAGTATGTGGCGTTTTATTTAAATATATAAGTCCGTCGGTTGTGTAACGCGTCAGTTGTATTTTATTTTTATCCGGCTTTAGGGCATGTCCCAATTTGTGGGGGACTCAATGCTACCGGTGAAAGTAACCACTTGCAAGAAATAACGAGGAGAAAGTGTTTTCTTGCAGCAAAATATTTTGACTTTCAAGAAATGCAAGGTGCAAAAAACTACGCCACGCCACAATTAGTTAGTAAGACACGTGGCTAGGCGGCGCAAATTTCTGGCACTTTCTCCCAGTTTCTTGCACATGAATTTCTTGCGTTTATTTTTTACAGTGGAAGAAATGTATGCACCAAACCTGCAAGAAATAAATCACAAATAAGAAATAACGGCAAGAAAGTGGTTTCTTGCAGCTGTTTTGACGTACAAGGCGCAAGAAACTACGTCCCGCCGCTATACTTAATACAGTGTTTCGCTAAATGGCGGACAGATATTTCTGACACTTTCTCGGAGTTTCTTGCACCTTGCATTTCTCGCGTTTCTTTGAGTGCAGTGTAAAAAATAAGGGCAAGAAAGTGGTTTCTTGCAGGTAAATATTTTGACTTGCAAATGAAATGCACGGTACAAGAAACTACGTCCCGCCGCTGTAAATACTTCATACGGCGCGTGGCTAGATGACGCATATTTCTTGCACTTTCTCCCAGTTTCGTGCACCCAGCATTTCTTGCCTTTCTTGCTTTACACTACAAGAAATGTATGTAGCAAGAAACGAAAGACTGATCGTATTCCAGTCTTCAGAGGGTTGGAGAAAGTAAAGTGGTCTGTGGCGTTTTATTCAAATAAGTCGGTCGGTTGTGTAGCTCGTAGTATATATTTTATTTTTGTCCGTTTTTAGGCCACGTCTAAATTCGTGTACGGTTTAGTAGATAACCTGAATGCATACTAATTCGGGTGGAGCGTGGCGTAACGTATGTTTTTTTGATGGAGCGACAAGGTCATGAAAATGAGGATGTTCTGCTTCGTGACTCAGATGAGATGAGATGAGATGTGCGATGGATGGAGATCAGGATTCTTCAAGGAAACCGTCAGGATCTATACGTTCGCGAGGTCTGCTTCGGTTGGGTAAGCACACGCTAAATAATGTGGGGACAAATTGGGGAGATTTGTTTTACGGTGGGAATAATATCTTAGCGGGCAGGGAATTCAAATTTGTTGCAATAAATGGTACTAGAAACTACTGAAATTTTGGGATAATTATGTATCATACAGTGAAGTTTATTCAGTTGTTAGATTATTTATGATCAGGAAGCGGATAGGTGTTCATTTTCAACTTTTTCATTTGATTCTGACCAACGGTCAAACATTTTGGGTGTGTTTCATAACTCGCATAGACCACAAAAATTTCAAGAAATTTTTTCATATTGTCACATATTTCTAGGTTTTCAGACATAAATATTTCCGCTATTACATAATTGAAAAATGCGTACATCTTTTACATATATTTCGTAAATATTTTTACAATACGAGACGAATTTTTTTTCTCAGAGAAATGTTTAAAAATAAAAATTTTCTCAAAATTCTTATCTTTATAGTTTTCGCATGTATTTCGTAAAGTTTTTTGAGTTTTTTTTTGTAAAATGCGAATTTTGTCAATATATTTTGACGATTTTTTTTTGCTCAAGGAAATTGAATCAGACAAAATCCAGAGAAATTTCATATATTAAAGAATAAAAATTTTGTGAAAATTCTTATTTTCCGTACGTATTTCGTAAACATTTTGATCCTTTTAAATAAACACTAAATCCACATTTCTGCAAACTATCGTCAATATATATCCGCCCTCTGCTTATTACGAATGTGTATTTGCGACGACTTTTTCCTGGCTAAGGGAGAGAGAGGCGGAGAGGGAGGCCATCAATAGTGGTTCGATGTGTGTGGTGGTGGGTTAGATAGGTGAGCGTCGTGGAACTGGTCCAAAGGGGGACATGAAGGAATGATTGGAATTTCTTGGGCAGAATGCTAAACCTGACCTCGCTCGCCTCCTTCCCACCACGTCGCAGAAAGGAAACAATTTCATCTCTGCACCTTCGCCCCGCCCGAACCATTCCTCCCGATGACGATAATAATTGATTATTGAGGAGATAATAGTTCCCAGAAGAAATATCTATATACATTGATTGCACTAATTCCGATAAAAAGATGCTCATTTGTTGGCAATAAATTGGCACGTGTTTCTGTAATTCGCAACACTTGTATCGCGATTCGCAACGTTAATTATTGAGCAGAGAAGTAAATTGATATCGAGGTTTTACTTACTTTCACTCTTAGAAATTCAGTATTACAATAATTCTAAGCGGTATTTATGTATATATACCTTAACCAAAGCGGTATTAAGCAGTAATACCGTGTAGTAATAGCTCGGTATTAAAGTTTAACATGTCGGTAGCAAATCTTAACGTACCGGTATAACTTTAATATTTATTTACCAGGCGGTAACTACTTTAATTAATACCTTGAAATCAATACCTATACCAGATTTTTAACAGTGGAAAGATGCATCTAGCAATTTGTTGCCAATAAATTTGCACGTATTTAAATCGCAAAACTTATAACGTGACGTGAAAACCTTAATTATTACGCAGTAAATAAAGCAATATCAAGCTTTAAAAGATGCTCATCCTGCTATTTGTTGGCTGGCAAAAATAAATTGGCACGTATCTAATTCGCAAAATTTACACAGTGACGTGCAAAGTATTACAAATACCTAGATAGATATGCTACAGTCGTATTTCATTCTTACCGAGTAGGTAAAAGGATCTCATTGTGCCACAGGAAATATAATATTTCCTTGGTAAATATGTACCCCCGGCCGACAATATTTTACTGAAAGTGTGTAAATAAACACATTTTCTCGATTTTCGAGAGGAAATCAAAGTGGAGAAAGTACCACCTTATTTTTTTGCTTACACCTCCCCGAAAAAAAATCCTAATTGATACTCCACACAAAAACATGTATGTGTAATAAAATGCCACACTTTCTCTTTCCCGATCTCTCAATTTTATTTATTCTTGGCTCGATAATAATTGAATTTGGAGAAAGTTGTTACATTCATTCGCCACTTTTTGATGCATTCTCCTCCTCGTCGTCATAGATAAGGCTGCTGGGAGAAAGTGGGAGAAGATAAGTGCGCTCTGTGGATAATGTTGGAGTTGGTGAATAATAAGAGAGTGGTGAAAGCAGGGCTGAGTGAGATAAGGGAGATGGCCAAATGCGTCTGGAGTTGACAGTAACAGGCACTTGGGACCTTTAGCCTGCATCCATCCAGCACTTTCTCAATCTCTGACAACCCACCAACCAACTTTCTCCACAAACACAAACTTTTCAAACGACGACGGTGAGCAAGTGAGGAAGTATTTACTATTAGTTAGTTGAAAGCAGGCTCAATTATTAGGCGGATTGGAATATGAGGCGTATATTTCCACATTTTCAAAACTTTGTAAGCTTGTAAGCAGCTCAGCTCAGAGTCGGGAAATGATTCAATTAAAGGAAATACTTAAGTATGCAAAATGTTGATTAATGAGGAGAAAGTGGACCTTGTAATTCGATAATTTTGTAGACCTTGTAATTTTACAAGTAGGGAAGAGAAAGTGTGAGGGGAAAGTGGACCTTGTAATTTCATAATTTTGATTTTGTTTGTGGCAGTTAAAGCCAGGAAATTGGCTGGCTTACTAATTTACCTTGTAATTCCTTGTAATTTGATAAGCGTGGAGAAAGCGGAACTTGTAATTTCATAATTTTGATTTGTTAAAGTCCGGAAATTAGCTGGTTTACTAATTTACCTTGTAATTCCTTGTAATTTGATAAGTGTGAGGAGAAAGTCAACCTTGTAATTTCATAATTTTATGGCAGTGAAAGCCCCGGAATTTGCTGGATTATCATTTTTACCTTGTAATTTCATAAATATGGAGAAAGTGTTAGGAGAAAGTGGACCTCGTAATTTCATAACTAAGGAGAAAGTCGACCTCCTAATTTTATACTTTTATGGCAATGAAAGACCCGAAATTTGCCAATTTACCTCATAATTTCATAACTATCCCGAATTTAGTGAAAGTGGGAAAATTGTCTCGCTTACCATTTTATTATGCTGCTCGTCAAACCTTCTTCTTATTAAATATGACACGTTTCTTCATGTCCCAAACCGATGTTCAACATTACACAAATCCGTATTATTAAATACTGTATTATTTGTACCAAGAATTAATTAGTTACTTATTATTTGATGGCATTATTATTGAGCACCTTTCACTTGCGAGTTCTGAAGTCCTCCATTATTAGAATTCGAAGCTAAATACGTACAAAATTCGTCGTCACAACCTGTTTATTTATTGATCAATTTCACTCTGTTCCTCTCACCAGTTATTTCGTAACACGGGTAAATTTAAACGTAATTAATTAATTGAGCTGCTGTATTTAATACAATTATTTCTTTATTTATTAATTAAATAGCACCGAGTATGGAAGCATATGAGTTGAAACTTGGTTAGTTATTAGTGAGTTAACAATACCTTGAAGAAAATCGTCTGTTACCACTTTCTTTTTTAAGGAATATGGACAGGAGAATTTAGAATTTATGTAAATATTTAAGAATTATTATTGTTCAGAAATTTAATAAGAAAACGTGTCTGTCTGTAAGGATAAATAAATAAATGCGGAAAGAGAGAGAGAGAGAGAGAGAGAGAGACTTATCTTAAGCAAGGAAATAAATGGAATTGAAGTAAGTATTTTGTTACTGGAAGAACTGGAGTGCAACTTGAGCTGAGAGAAAGTGGGGAGAAAGTGGGGCGACTGCCTGCCGGAGCTGTAAATGCCACTTTTGAATTTGTGCAAGGCTCAAACACACACACACGCGAGGGTACGCAACCAGTTTGTGAACGGGGTAAATCTAAATTATTTAATTCCCCTGGGGGGAATTAAACACCCTTAATTAAATTAATTGGGAGAAAGTGAACCCGTTTTTTTTACAAGACGCACCTTTTTTAATGCACCCTCCTTTCTCCAAACTTTTGCCTATTTATCCCTCCACGACTTGCCAGAGATGAGGAAAAGAGAGAGCGAACGAGCCGAGTTTGGCAGCCACACTGCTAACATTGCACTTTCTCCGCTTTCTCCACGTCCAGTCGACGACCAGGACGAGAGGAGCAGGACCAAGGGAACGGCTAGGCAACCTCTCCTCAAACCGAGCGAGCCAACAAAGCCCAGCAGGTTTCATTCATTTCTTCTTTGACTACTTTCTCCATGTAGAAAGGAGAAAGTACATGCATACGTATGTAGGTAAAGGTTGGTATGATGGACGGATTTTTTTGTCAGGGGAAAAAAATTAGCAAAAACGTAAAAAATGAACTTCAAGATTTCAAAATAAAAATCAAGATTTTACACTTGATTTGAAGAAACACTCGGATTTGGTACATTTTATAGTGAAATTCAACCAAGTCTCTGAAAATTACGCAAAAACGTGAAAAATATTTTGTACTTGATTTGAGGAAATACTCGTATTTTGGACATTTTGCAGAAAAATTTAACTAATTGCAGTGAAGGAGTAATGTAATATGAAGCAAAGAATGTACCATTTCTGTTGAAAAATCGTCCTGAGTACTAGGCTTAATAAACGACGGGATGAGATAAGATGCCAAGATGCCATGCAGGAGGGAACTTACATGCATATCTATTTAAAACCTAGTACTTTGGAAGGATTTTACCCGTGCAAAAATTTATCAAAAAAAAATTTATCGAAAAAGAAACTTAAGCAAAATTTTGTACTTGATTTACTTGCGTTATGTAAATTGTTTTCGTTAAAATTCAAGTAATTTCTAGTGACCGAGTAATTTAATTCGAAGCAAAAAAAAACATCCTGAGTACTATGCTTAACCGCCGACCTGAGATGTACTCCAATCCAGCAGGGAACATACGTATACATACATACGCCACCCAAACCACACATGATTCAAACCCTGCCTTACATTCCCTTTGAAGCTGCTGTGCTGCATAACCGGAAGCTAAATGTGTATCTACCGAACCCAACTAAATATGATTACTTAGCGGAAAAGGATTTAAATAATTGAGCACAGAGAAAGCTGAAAATCTTGTCATGTTTTTTTCTTCTGTCGATTGAATGTCCTACAAATTGGAGGAAATCCTGTTGGAAATCCATCCTTTTTTGGTTAGAATTTCAAGTCGATGTAATGATCCGTTTTTCTGCTGGTGTGAGGAGAATAGTGTCGTCGTCGAGTTGGTGGTGTCCTTCGGGAGGCAGAGAGACGACACGGGATACGCAGGAGCAGAGGAGAGCGAGGCAGAGAGTGTAGTGCTTTCTCCTCATCAATAAATATTAGCTTTCTCTCGTCCACCCCAAGAAAGTAGTTTCACTTTCAACTTTCACCACTCTCCAGAAAAGTTCACATCATCATCATATCATCAATATGAAAGGGGAAAGAGAAAGTTGGGTGAAACAGGGGAAAATATAATGAGGCGAGGATATGTGATGTGATGCCTGCGTGGTTTGGTTTGGTTATCGGGATGAGAAATTAGAATGGTAAAGGGAACAAGAGGATGGGATGTGATGGGATGGAGACGAATTCAATATAATATTTTGGAGAGAGAGGGAGAGTGGGGAAAAAATGAAAATCTCATAAAACGGAGAGAAAGCAGTGTTTCGGGTGAAAGTAACGAGTTGGAAGTAATAATGGGAAGAAAGTGGGGTTTTTTTGCAGGTGGTTTGACTCGAAAAAAGTGAATTTTTTAAATATTTTGACCTGCAAGAAATGCAAGGTGCAAGAAACTACGCCACGTGGGGAATAGTTCATACGGCTGGATGGCGCATATTTCTTGCACTTTTTTTGCAGTTTCTTGCACCTCGCATTTATTGCGTGGAATGCTTTACAGTGCAAAAAAAATTGGCAAACCTGCAATAAACGAAACACTGGGAAGTAACCACGTTCAATAAATAACGGCTAAAAAATGGCTTTTTGCAACAATTTTGACCTGCAAATGCAAGGCGCAAGAAACACCTTCCCACTGCTATTAATTCATATGGTGCATGGCTAGATGGCGCTTATTTCTTGCACTTTCTCACAGTTTCTTGCACCCCGCATTTCTCCCATTTCTTCCTTCCCCTGCAAGAAATGTATGTAGCCAACCAGCAGGAAGGCACGAAACCCTTGGGGAAAGGCATGCGATGCGATGCGTTGCCTCCTTCCTTCCTGCGGTTTGATCCCGGGATCATGGCAGATTTGTGGAGAAGCTGCCTCCTTCTTGCTGCGAGGTCAGACTGCTCCACGAGCCGGAAAGGAACGTAAATATTTAATCATGGAAATATTGCATGTACATACACCCAGGGAGAGAGAGAGATTATGGACAAGTGGGTGAAAGTAGGTGTGCAAATATGCAGGAGAAAGTCTGCCATTATGTAATGACACTCATTCCCTCCTTTGCTCGTTCTTCCCGAGGGTGTGATCATGCACAAGGATACCTGTTCATTTTCATTCATTTGAGTGATTGAAAATTATGAAAATGAATTTCCTGATTTGAGTGAAAATGAGTGAAAGATTCTGTCATTTCAGATGAATGACTGTGAATGAAAGATTTCTCACTCATTTCATTTTTCATCCTATGATTAATACATGAGGCGAAGTAAGAAATGAAGTCGGATGAAGTTAAATGAAATGAAATGAATTTGAAAGAAAATGACTGAATGTGAATGAAAATCAGAAATCGGGATGACTGACTTTTGAGTGAAAACCAAATTTTTCAACAGGTATGATTATGTAATGACACTCATTCCCACCTTCTTCCTTGCCTGCCTCACTGTTCTTCTTCCCGAGGGTGTAATCACAAGGAAATGCTGGTCGGTCGGTGCAGCTCTCACAAGAAAAGATAATAATGAGCGCAATTTAATCCGCTTCTAGGAATTTAGAGATTTACAAGAAAGAACAAAATTAAGCAGAGTTTTGAGTATTTATTAATTAGTCATAAGTAGTTGCCTTGTTTTACATTGTTCCTACATTTTTAATCATTTCTCGGCTCTGGGAACTTATTTTGAAATTCTGGACGGTGAATTTGTAGTCAGTTCAGTAAGTCGCCAATTTTTTAAAATGATAGACTCCAGATTTTGACACGTTTGAAGGAGAAGATTTTAAGTTTAAGAAACCTTCCGAAAAATTTTAATTCGTCGAAACCTGCTTAAAAAATCGCAGGGCATTAATCCAATTAATCAAAATCAGCACATTTTAAATAATTTTTTACCTCTGGGAATTTATTTTAAAATTCTGGACAACAAATTTGCCGTCAGTGAGTTGATTAATGGAATGAGGTGAGTTTTTTAAGCCAGTTTCGATGAGTTCCAATTTTTCTGAAGCCTTCTTAAACTTGAGATCTCCTCCTTCAAAAAGTGTCAAAATCTGGAGTGTATATTTCTAAAAAATTGACAACTCCCTGCTCTTCAAATTTGTCGTCCAGAATTTTAAAATAAATTCCCAGAGGCGAGAAGTGCAATCGTGCAAATTTTGACCATTTCATCGAGCCCTACATACATACCTACGTTAATGGGGAATCTGGTAAAAAGACAGGGGATTGGAATGGTGTGAAATATGTATAATTTCTCTGTCCGTGGTGTGGTGAAAGTAGGAAATGAATGTTGCAATAAAACCGCAGGAGGTGGGTTTCGCCTCGCGGGAAGAGAATAATGAGAAGGTTATTGTATTATGTATGTGGAATTATGCAATAATTCCGAGACTCCTGCACCAGCAGATTTTAATTTAGAATGGAATTTTATTACGAGACAGAAATAATTTATGTGTGATTAAACATTATTCATGTACGTGTTGAAGGCACGATATGATTTGCATAAATATGTTTTTTATATAGGGCACGAGTTAAATTTTGGAAAAGATACATACATTTTTCATCTCTACTCTACCAACTTTCAGTTGTTTAATAAATACAACTCACCAACTACAAGTTGTATAAAAACTGAGTGCTATACATTTTTTAGTAGAAATAGAGTTCGGAAATCACAGATTTTATTATGAGACAGAAATTTATATGGAGTTTAATATTACGTTACACGTAACAGAACTGTATGTGTAATTAAATATTATTTGCATGCATTCATGCACGTGTTGAAATCATGACATGATTTATGGGCTGGTCGGTGAAGTTAAGTGTCAAGGTTCCCCCTATTGGTTCAACCAGTTAGCAGTTAATTTTGCATATGAAAAAATAATAAAAATTGGCAAATTGGATAAGCTTTCGAAAACCGAAAACAGAATTTCATTATCTCTTTTCGTTAGAAAATGACAGCACAAAATGTAGAGTAGGTGGAAAAATTAGTTTGCCACTCGTGCAAAAAAGTGATTTTCTTGGATCGGGAAAAGGCTTGTGACCACCCCACTTTTGCAGGGATGCACCGGACAAAATTCACCATATAATATACAGATATATGGATCGTAAAAATGCAAAATGTAAAATTTTGCCTTGTCGACCTGTCCGCTAGGAGACCAATATACTGACGCGAAACGTGAAAAAATTTATTGGAGGCAACCCCAACAGATCCGTGAGGGCTGCACCCAGACAGCTAAAAATTTCAAAAACCGATCTTAGCAAGATCAAAGCGAATAAGATGGGCTTCAAAACTTGCAACACTACACTCTTAGAACTGTGGTAATAAAAGTGCATACTCGTTTATTACCGAACGGTTGGTAAATATAGACTTTCCCGTAGCAGTAATGAAATTGTTCACCAAAATTCATTATAATGCAAAAACTTTATTTATTATTGTATGGTATTATCGGGAAAACCTAAGCGGCAATATAAAATTACCAAGTTATGTTAATTTAATACAGCAGTGAGGAATATGATTAATACTGCCTCGCATTAAATCTTTTAGTGTAATGGGTAATAAGTTAAAACTCTAATCCGGTGTATTTTTAATACTACTCCGGTAAATATCTTTTGCAAACTCGACCCCGCAACATTCAAAAGCACGGGGACTCGCTCTCCAGAAAATTTGTTCGTGTTTAGAATTATTTTCGAGCTGGTTCTTAAAGGTAAGTCTAAAGGTAATTAGATTAATACTAATTAATTTGTTTATGCCAAAGTGTAACTTATTCATTTTTAAATGTACATAAATTTCACTTTTAGTCACTGCAAAGTTTTAACTGATCGATCAGTTTGGCAGCAAACTCGATCATGATCGAGCTATCATGGTGAGTTTGTTCTAAAACATAAAACATCGTTTATTTATTAGTTAGCTAAATTTGTTTTTCTTGTTCATTTAGGGATTCATCAGCAATTCAAGATCAGAAGTCATTTGCTGAAACGATTGTTGAGATCTTGGCGATCTTGCCGTTTTGGACATCTTCTGGGGTTCCCCGTGGAATAGTAAATTTTAAGTTTAAGGTAGTATTTATGAAATTTTAACTAACAAATATTGTGTATAACTTTGACGTGCTAAAAATTATGATTCAGTAAAATATTTTTTACGAAAATTTACCAAATTTAGTGTAATCATTACCACAATAATAATTAATATTCCCCAAGGCAGTAATAATATTAATACTAAATTATATTAATAATATGTACACCAAGCGGTAATAATGGCATTACACAATGGTAACTAATTATTACTGCAAAGGAGTTTTTGTTGTTACTCAGCAAAGCTGTTTTTTATACCTCGTTATAATGAATCAATCCCGGGTCAGTAGCTTTAGGAATAGTTACCGCACGGTAAACAAAAAGTTACCACGGCAGTAGAGTCACATAGATACTCCGCCCGGTAAACATTTCGGTAATGAAATTCTTAAGAGTGTAGAACCGCGCCAAAAGACAATGAAGATAAAAAAGACGGAGCTAAAACAATTTGTAGAAAACTTGTCGAGAAAATGTTAAAATCGACTCCCAGAAGTTTGACGTCATGGATGCTGAAAACTACTGTCCCGTTGACCTCTAAGCGTCAATCGCGTAAAGTTCTACTCACGTAGAAATAAAAATGACGTTCGTTCGAATTATAAATTCAAAGCCAAGCAAAATTTCCAATGAGACACATAAAATGGCCGGAAATCTACAAAAATGGGAACGTCTCAAAGCCATTCGTATCTACGATGAATATGAACTTTGAACTTTATTTGAAAGAGTGTATCATCAAAAGATTGACCCCCTCTATCAAAAATAAACACGTTTTATTCTGGTCTGACATGAATACGTCCTAGAATACCAAAATAGTGACCGGGTACCATGGAGGGAAAAAAGCTGATTTCTTCAAGAAAAGGGACAACGCTCCAAACGTACCTCAGTGTAAGCCCATTGAAAGATTTTGGGCATTAACTGAGAAACAATATACCTAGAAAAAATGAACACAAAGAAATTTCAAAAAATTTCTGCGCGTTATAGAGAAAATCATCATAGGAGTTGGTGAAACGAGTGGCAAAGCGCTTATGAGAGGTCCTCGACAAAGTCTTCTCTCCACCGGTAAGAAAGGGGTGTTTGGGCAACTGAAGGACTAAAAAACTTCGGTCTGGTCATCCTTAACATTCCACAAAAGTTTCGTTAAATTAGATGCATGCATTCATTTTTTGTAGGCTAAAATAGCTTGACACTTAACTTTACCGACCAGTCCATACGTGTGTTTTTTAGGTCATGAGTTAAATTTTTAAAAAGGTACATCCATACATTTTTCTCATCTCTACCATTAATTTTCAATAAATAAAGTAAATACAACTCGGCAGTTTCAAGTTGTAGTATTAAAAAACGAAATTTAAAAAATGCATTTGTTCATCTCTCATCTCGGAAATTTTTTCACAGAGCGATCTGCTCACATTTTATTAACAGACAGAAATTCATATGGAAATAAATATTATTTGCATTCATGCACGTGTTGAAGTCACGAAATGATTTACATGCATATGTTCTTTTAGGTCACGTGTTAAATTTTTAAAAAAAGTTCACACATTTTTTGGTTTCTATCAACTTTTATTTAATACAACTCGTCAGCTATTTACAAGTTGTATAAAAGTGAGAGAAATTTTTTACACAATTTTTATTACGAGACAGACATTTACATCTAGATATTTGTATGGAATTAAACATTATTTACATATATTCATGCACGTGTTTTCAACCACGATATGATTTACATATGTGTACATATAATTTTTAGGTCACAAATTTTCAAAAAAGGTACATTTTTTCCATCTCTTCTCTACTCTTTCAATCATTTTAATAAATACAACTCGCTACAAGTTGTATAAAAAGTGAGAGTTTTTTTGTAGAAAAAGAGCTCGGAAATCCATTTAGAGAGCGATCTGCCCTATAATTTTATCAGTATTACGACACAGAGATTTGTATAGAATTAAATATTATGTTACACGTGGGTAACAGCAATTTATGTCACATTAATATTAATTAATATTTGTATTATTACTTCATGCACGTGTTTCAACCACGATATGATTTACATATGTGTGCATAATTTATGTCACAAGTTTTCAGAAAAAGGTACATTTTTTCATCTCTAGTCTACCAACTCGTCGGCTACAAGTTGTGTAAAAAGTAAAATTTTCAAAAAAAACATATATATTTCTCTATCTCTACACATTTATAAAGTTCTCCAATCCTGTCAATAAATGCAACTCGGTTGCAGCTAAATACAAGTTGTGTAAAAAGAGATAGATAGATTTTTTTGGGGGCAGAAAAAGAGAGCACCCAAAATCCTTTTAGAGATCGATCTGCCCAAATTTTTATTGAGAGACAGAGATTTACATGGAATTAAATATTACGTTACACGTGGGTAACAGAAATTTACATATGTGTTATTAAATATTAATTAATATTTGTAATATTACTTATGCACGTGCTTATATTCGTGCACGTGCTTGCAATTATATTCATGCACGTGTTCCAACCACGATATGATTTACATATGTGTACATACATATAATTTAGGTCACAAATTTTCAAAAAAGGTACATTTTTTCATCACTACTCTACCAACTTTCCATCATTTCAATAAATACAACTCGGCAGCAGCTACACAAGTTGTACAAAAAGTGACATATAGATTTTTTTTAGAAAATCAAAGCCCGGAAACCCGCTTAGAGAGCGATCTGCACATCAAAAATGGTAAACTTGTCCCCATCCAGGGCTACTGATCGCGTCAGAAATTTATCTTTGGCATCCGACACTGTCCAAACTTTGGCATGAATCGTATCTCCATTTCCATTTCCGGTTTCCTCGTCCCCGTCACCACCACCTTCTGCGTCATCCTGGTAATAATTTTCTGTCCAGGTCGGTCCGCCATCCTCGTCAATTTTCGCCTTCATTTCCATGGCATGCTTGAGTTGGGCGGACTTCAAGAGGTAGAATTTTTCCAGGGTGTTGTGGTCGCCCCCCTCGACCACGTGGTCTCCACCCACCACGTGGTCGCCCACGTTAAGCGGGATGAGTTGCAGGCGGGTCCGGGTGAGGTGGTCGGTGAGTCCGAGGTGCAACGCGTAGCCGAGGAAGTTGACATGCGCCCAGATCGGGAACGCTTTGACGGCCGTGTAGACGCCATGAATGAAGACGACCGAGGTCCAAAAACCGCCCCAAACCTGACGCCCGACCGGGGTCAGGGCCATGATGAAGAAGACGGTGGAGCACGTGATGAACAGGGCGAACTTGAGGAGGGAGAAGGGGAAGAAGGTCTGATCCTGCTGGAAGAGGGGGAGATTTTAGCAAATTTTTACATACATAATGCAAATTTTAAGTGAGAATTTATGATTTTGAGGAAATTTTAGGGTCAATCGATGATAAATTTAATTAGGAGAATACCTGTTCACTTTCATTCATTTGAGTGATTATGATACTGAATGAAAATGAATTTCCTGTTATTTGAATTAAAATGACGAAATTTCAGATGAACGATGAATGAAGTGGATAAAGTTCGATGAAGTGAAATTAAATTAAATGAATTTGAAACAAAATGATTGAATGTGAATGAAAATCTTCACTCAAAAATCGGGATTACTGACTTTTGAATGAAAACTTAATTTTTGAACAGGTATATGATTACATTACTGTATGAAATTCTAGGATGAAATTTGCGATATGAAAATAAGGTTTTTTAACTATTCTGCTTAATGTTGCTTGCATTACCTAAACATTCGGCGATAATAATTTCTTCGTAAAAATACACAAACTGGCGTCCAACTTGTGAAAATGTACAATTACTCAATTAATTTACTCAATTTTTTTTTCTACGGGAAATTATCACTTTAAAAAGATAACACGTATTCAATACACAAACAATGGAGGTCACCCAGCGTATGCGATCCGATTTTGGACAAGTTAGTCTCAATCGATCACAGATTTTAATTTAATATCCTGCATTATTTTACACGACATTTTCTTAATATGAAAATTTATTTATTGGAAATTTTAAGTGAGAATGGAGGTCTCCTATTATTATGTAAATTTAATTAGTATGAAACAGAAGAATTGATCCTGCTAGAAATTTTAAGTGAGAATGGAGGTCTCCCAGATTTTGGGAAAATTAGTCTCAATCGATGAGAATCGATGATAAGAAATGGGGTTACGATTACAACCAAAAAGTAAACGTATATGACTCTACCGTCTTGGTTATAAATTTGTCACCGAGTTGTTACAATTGTCACCGACTAATTATAAAGTTTCACCAACTTGGTATTAAATTGTCACCAGAGCTAATGAATTTATAACCACTCGGTGACAAATTTATAACCACTCGGTGACAAATTTATAACCACGGCTGTAGAGTCATATGCGTTTACTTTTTGGTTATAATCGTAACCCCATTTCTAAGAGTGTAGGATGATATTTGCGATATGAAAATTATGCTGGATTCCCATTATGGATAAGGTTTTATGATTATGCTCTATCTAACTCTCTCTTCCATTACCTAAATATTCGCACATAATCTAATTTTTTCCTAAAAATATACAAAGTGGCGTCCAACTTGTTCTACACGTGTGATTAGTTCTTTACGATTTATGCAATATTTTCTGCTTGAAATTACATATCACTTTAAAAAGATAACAAATACGTAATGCAATCATAATGGAGGTCTCCCATCGTATACTTTCTGATTGTGGACAAATTAATTTTAATAATTAAAATTAATTTGTCGCCAATTAATTTTAATAATTAAAATTAATTTGTCGCCAATTAATTATTAATTGATGCTAAATAAATTTAAATAGGGTGAAATTTGGAAAAGGCACTATCTCCCAATGGACACGTTTGGCCGAGCTATTTGCATCCGAAGAGGAGAAAACGCGCCCAAAAAGTCGACAAATTTTACGGTTTCCAAATTTACCGTGCGTTTTATCCTCTTCGGATGCAAATATCTCTGCCAGCCAAACGTACCCATTGGGAGATCGTGTCCTTTGCAAATTTCATCCTAATTAAATTTGTCCTCGAGTGACACAAATGTGCCCAAAAAATCGGATCGCATACGCTGGGAGACCTCAATTACGTACATAAATACGACTCACCTTGACGAGAAGAACCCCCGTGCTGGACACCATGGACAAGATGAGGTACGCAAAAACGGGGAAGAAATGCGTCACCGGGATCTATAATTTAATCGAGAGATTGAAAATATTTTTCATACTTTCTATACGTACATATGCAAATTAAATCATGTGACCTCTTCTCCCCCAAGAAACGCGACCAATTCTCCCGGATCCAAGATAGCTCCAGACAAGAGAAGAAAATACCAGATGTCCGTTCCCTAAAAAAATTCGCACAAATATTTGCAAATTATTTAGCGACGCTTTTTAACACTCTGCCCTTAAAATTCGCAACTAATTACAAAAAGCAACAGTACCAATTAAACCCACGAGATCAAACAAGGTAAAATTCGCACAATATTTGCAAAATAATTTATAACAGCCTGCCCTTAAAATTCGCAACTAATTACATAAAAAAAAGTGCCAATTAAACACTCACGAGATCAAACAGTGTCCAAAACAGTGCCTGATTTTCCAAGTAGCGAAACCGAACATCAGCCCGAGTCCAAGATTTGGAGAGATTTTTATTCACCTGGAAGGGACGGAGGCCTCCGAGCAGGAGCCCTTTCAGGCTCAAGCCTCGCTTGGTCACCATCCTGCCTCGAATTACGCAATTATTATCCACGGGATTATCTAAGCCTGGAGATTAAGACGATGATGACGATGATGTAAGACTGCCGGATTAAGGCAGGAGAAAGTACGTGCTCGGGTGACGGTGGAGCCTGACAGAATAATTCTTCCAGCGAGGAGGTGGAAGATCCCATATATTTTTAACTTTCCGTGAGAATTTCTGGGCTCAGTTCGGAGAAAGTGGAGGATGAAGCATGATGAGACGCTTAAAAATGTGACGGAGAAAGCAGGAGAAAGCAGGAAATGAGGTAGCCTTGAAGGCATGAGGTATGTGCAAGCTCCTCCACCAGTGCTTTCTCTCTCTCCCGGCCGACTTTCTCCTCCAGGAGAGGAGGCAGCATCTCCCACAACAACGGCCGGGGATTCAGATGAAATGAGGTGAGATGCCTGCTCGATGCAGAGAAATATAAATAAATTCAGGAGAGAGGTGAGAAGGACAAGTGATGTGATGGGTTTGATTTTGATTTCAGATGACTTTTGTACACCTATGTATGTATCGGGTCTGATTTCACCGACTTTCTCATGTCGGCTCTGATTTCACCGACTTTCTCATGTATGTCGGGTCTGATTTCACCGAGGTTTTCGTATATAGGGTATGATTTCAAGGGGGCAGAGGGGAAGGAGAAGGATGCGAGGAATGCATGTGGAGAAGTCGGCATGATTGAAACCTTGGAAGATCTGAAGATGGTAGGGATGGATCTGGTTTTAACTTAGATTACTTCTTGTATCGGATCTGATTTCAAAGAAGTCGGCATACGTACAATTACAGGGAAAGGATGAGTTAATTTGTGTACGTGCAACTCGGCATGATTGAAACCTTGGTAAATCTGGGCAAATTAGTTATGTATCTGGTCTTGGTTTCAGATGACTTTTCCATATCGGATCTGAATTTTTGAGGAGTCTGCCTGCGTACATATGTACAATTACAGGAGAAAGATAAGGATGAAGATGAGTTAACGTATGCATAATGCATAATTCGACATAATTGAAACCTTAGTAAAATACATCTGGAGAAATTAGTTATGTATCTGGTTGTGTTTCAGATGACTTATTCATATCTGATCTGAGTTTAAAGGAATCTGCATATGTACAATTACAGGAGAAAGATAAGATGAAGATGAGTTAACGTATGTATGTATTTTTATGCAAATCAGCATAAATTGGAGTCCTCGCAAATTTAGAGAAGTTATTACGGATCCGGTTTTGATTTCACCGAGTTTTTTTCCATATTGGCTCCGATTCCAAAGGAGTCGACATATTTACTTCTTCAGAGGAGTTAACGTATGTATGTGTGTGCAATTCGATATGATTGAAATCCTCGTGAACTCGGACAAGTTCTAGATCTGATTTTGATTTCAGATGATTCTTTCTGTATAGGATCTGATTACAAAGAAGTCTGCATATTTATGTACAATTACAGAAAAGCATGAGTTAACGTACATAAATATGTGGAATTTTGGCGTGATTGAAATCCCGTTAAATCTGGACAAGTTATGCATTTTGTTTTGATATCATAAACTTTTTCATATCGGGCCTGATTTCAAAGGAGTCAGCATACATGCAATTACCGTAGATTAACGTATTTTTGAATAATTCGGCATAATTGAAATCCTGCTAAATCTAAAGTTCAGCATAATTGAAAACTTGACCATTTAATAATACTCATTGTTTCCGATATGTTTACTCTTTCACGGGGTCAATCCATCGTCAATCGTTAAAGCTTCCGCATTAAACAAATTCTGCTCTGCGAACACAAGAGTGTCGCTTGGTTGATGTGCATATGTATGCAAATTATGTATGTATGCATCCATTTTTAGAGTAACGTGATATGCAAATACAGGGCGAATCGTATAGGTAGCATTGTTTAAGCTGGTACACAATTGAGGTAATTGTCATCGGAGAGTGATTGTTCGGCTAGTCGTCACCCTTCGTGTGGTGACTCTGTGAAACAAGTAGGTACTGAAAATCGAGGTCACCTTGCGAAGATGGGACCCCATTCTGTAGCCCTAGTTTTCGTATTGTTCTATCTGGTGGGGAGTTCGTGGGGGCAGTATGGCGGCGGTGACGGAGGTGGGTACGGAGGCGGTGGTGGTGGTGGGTATAATTCCTACGGGGGTGGAGGAGGTGGCGGCGGCTACGGTAAAGATTTCCATGAGGGCAATTATCTAATCACTTGGGGGGTTGTTCTGTTGATTACTGAATTCTTGGATAAGGTGGTGGTGGAGGTGGTTATGGACCCCCACAAGATCAGCAGTACGGACCCCCGCAAGATCAGCAGTACGGACCTCCCCCTGACCAGCAGCAGTATGGACCACCGCCTGATCAATACGGTGGTGGTGGGGGTGGCGGTGGGGGACAGAACCAAGCCCCGCAATTCTCGGGACGTAAGCCTGGCTGATTTTTTTTGCATAGAAAATTTGGGAAATTTGCAGGATTTTATTGTGAAAATTTGTAGGATTTTTTTTCCGTGAAAACTTGGAAGATTTTCTTTTTTGAAAATTTGTAGGATGTTTTTATGAAAATTTGTAGGATTAAAAAAAAATTTGTACAGAAATTGGGGACCGAGAACGCCAAGTGATGGACTGGATGCGAACGGTGGAGCCGCAAATGACGGAAAAATGTTTTGTCAGCAATATCGCAACTTTTAATTATGAGACCAACATCACCTTAGCGAATGACGAGGCAAATGTGAGAAAAGTTTCTGTGTTTTTTTTCATGAACCATTGGCATCGGAAGGAGGGGGGCATTGTCCCCCTAGAAATTTAGCAAAATTTCACTCAAAATAAGGTAGTAATGAATCATTACCATGCGGAATGACTATGTGGCTCTACCACGTCAGTTACGATGTATCGTAGAAACGGTAATAATAAGTTCAGGGAAATTCAAATTTAATACATAATGGTATTAACTTCCTTAATATTCGGTAATGAATTTGAATTTCCCTGAACTTATCATTACCATTTCTACGACAAATCGTAACCGACGTGGTGGAGCCATGTAGTCATTCCGCATGGTAATGATTCTTTACTACCTTATTTTGAGTGTAATGAATCCCTCCTATAATGGTAGTGTCCCCATACGTCCCCCCAACTTCCGCCACCCATACCTGTTCACTTTCATTCATTTGCGTGATTGTGATGGAGAATGATGATGAGTGAAAATGAATTTTCTGTCATTTTAATAAAAATGAATGAAGGATTCCGTCACTTCAGATGAATGACTGCTGTGAATGAAAGGATTTCTCATTCATTTCATTTTTCACCCTTTGCTTAATACATGAGGCGAAATAAGAATGAAGTCATATGAAGTGAAATGAAATGAGTTTGAAAGAAAATGACAGAATGTGAATGAGAATCTTCAGTCAGAGACTGACTTTTGAATGAAGACTAAATTTTTGAACAGGTACGCCCGCCGCCACTGTTATGATTTAATATTAACTAATTAAATTTGACTTCGCAGACGGCCGCCTCGATGGACCAGAACGCGCTCAGCAAGACGATTCAGGACGATATCATCAACCAATTTCCGTGGTGGAGGGAGCTCCAGTGTCCCAAATTGTGGAGGCAGATGCGCTTCTACTTCCTCGGCGGGCCTGGAAACGTTCCCACCTTCAAGATTGAGGAGGTTCGGGAGTGTTTTTCATTTTGTTTACGAGATTTCTTGAAATAGGAAGCGAGAAATGCGAGGTGCAAGAAATGTACGGCATTTTAACGCATGAAGTACAGCGGGGGGCGTAGTTTGCATTTCTTGCAGGTTAAAACAGCTCCAAAAACACTTGCTGGCCCTTATTCATTGCAGTGCAAAGCAAGAAATTGAATTTGTAAGAAAGTGCAAGAAATTCAAGGTGCAAGAAACTGCAAGAAATGCAAAGTGCTAGAAACGCATGAAATGCGAGGTGCAAGAAAGTGCAAGAAATGCAAAGTGCAAGAAATGCAAGGTGCAAGAAACCACTATTTATTTACAGCGGCGGGGCGTCGTTTCTTGCACATTGCAGGTCAAAATATTCACCTGCAAGAAACCACTTTCTCCCCGTTATTTCTTGCAAGTTGTTACTTGCCCCCGAAATTCGGGAGATTCATATCTACATACCTGAAAATAAGACAATTTTGTTGCCCACTTCTTAATACGCAGAGTTTGAAAATCACGTCCGCCATGTCCGCGTCCTACTCAACGGCAGCAGTTTGCGATTTTGAAAACAGAGACAAGTGCGATTTGGTCCTCGACCCGCGTGAGCAGCTAAGAATTTCATTGTTTTTTCAAGTTATCACTGCATGATAACTTCAAAAAAACTGATAACTTATCAGGCTGGTTTTATGTAATGGGAATAATTTCTTGTCAGTTCTTGAGAACATCTTATCGAAGGAGAAGGACTACGATAAGCTCGCCCACTACTGGACCGCGTGGCACGACACCATGTCAAACGGTGGGTGAATTCTTATTTTTTCAATGCTGACCTATGACCAGAGGGTGGATATGTATTTATTTTCTACTTTTTAATTTGATGATGAATGACTGATGGGAAAACTTGGTGGGTGTGTCCCCTAATTCGCATAGGGCACAAATTGCATCTTTTATTTTTACATATTTCAGGGTTTTCAGACATAAATATTTCAAAAATAGGGAAATCTTTTACATATTTCTTTTTCAAAAATATATACATTTTTGTAAATATTTCAAAAATAGGGAAATCTTTTAAATATTTTTGTCAAAAATATATACATTTTTGTAAATATTTCAAACATACGAGACAAAATTTATTTCCTCAAAGAAATTCAATCACAAAAAATACAAGGCATTATATTCAGAAATACATATGTTTCCGAATGGTAAATTCTTACCGTTTTTCGTAAATATTTTGGAGTTTTTTAGTTAAAATAAATACATTTCACCGATTTTTAGTAAATACCTAATTTTATAAATATTTTGACGTTTTTTTTACTTAAATTAAATACATTTCACCGATTTTTAGGTAAATACCTAATTTTATAAATGTTTTGACGTTGTTTTTCGTAAATACATATCCGCCCTGTGACCGTTTTCCTTGCAGCCGTCACTGCGCAACAGTACTCGGGCTACATCCAGCTCTCGAATGAGATCTCGCAAGCCAACGGGTTTCACGACACGGGCGAACAAAGTGCCGACGCCTACAACGACTTCACGCCCAACTGGACTTTCGACCTCTTCCGGCAATCCATGGCCGACAGCTTCGCCGCCATCAAGCCGACCTACATGAAGCTCCATGCCTACGTGCGGATGAAGATGAGGAACTATTACGGGCCAAAGGTCACCCATCCCTTGGGATTCATGCCCATCAATATTTTGGGAAATATGTGGGGACAGGTGAGCTTATTTATCGTTAAAAAATGATGACAAAAATATTAAGGTGTGAATGGATAAGTCAGAAGCAGTACATTTTTAAGAATTTCGCCCCTCTGAGAATTTATTTTAAAATTCTTGTGCACGACAAATTTGTAGAGCAGGGAGTTGCCAATTTAAAAAAATGTACACTCCAAAATCCAGATTTGTGCACTTTTTGAAAGAGATGTCAAGTTTATGAAATCTTCAAAATTAGCACTTTTTTTAATCATTTCTCGCCTCTGGGAATTTGTTTTAAAATTCTGGACGACAATTTTGTAGAGGAGGTCGTTCCCAATTTTTTTAAGAAATGTATGTACACTCCAGATTTAGACATTTTTTTGAAGGAGATTTCAAGTTTAGGAAACCTTCAGAAAAATGGGAACTTATCGAAACTGGCTTGAAAAATTCTCCACCATTCCATTAATCAAATCACTGACTGCAAATTTGTCGTCCAGAATTTTAAGATAAGTTCCCAGAGGCGAGAAATGATCAAAAATGCGTTGATTTTGACCATTGTGGCGATAATTCATCGAGTCTAGCCCGGATAAGTTTAACTTTAAGCTTACCCACGATAAGCTAAGCCAAGATAAGCTAAAATAAGCGAAGTATCCCCTCTAAATTCAGGAATGGACTGCTATCCACGGTGTCACGAAACCATTCCCGAACGCGCCTTCGCTCGACGCCACGAGCGCATTTCTTGCAAAGGTAACAACCCCAGAGAAGAATAAAAGATGCATAATTCGTGAGATTATTTATGCAAATTAGGGTTACACCGTTGAGCGGATTTACCAAGAAGCGGACAAATTTTTCCAAGAACTCGGCCTGTTTCCGATGAGCCCGCACTTCTGGCAGAAGTCGATGGTCGCCAAGCCCAGCGACGGGCGGCAGGTCATCTGCCACGCCACGGCCTTCGAATTCTGCCAGCGCGTTCCTCGCGGAGAAAATGCGGATTACCGTATACGAATGTGCACCCAAGTCAACCAGGCAGATTTCGCCACGGTGCATCACGAAATGGGTCACATTCAGGTAACTAATTAATTAATTAATGTGTTATTATCGAGGGAAATATGTGTCGAGATTTTTTGGTTAAAATTCCATCCCAAAAATTTGCATTAGTTCAAAGCGTTAATTCGTAGTTGTCCTTTCGCTTTAAAAGTCACGTAAGGTCAAAATTAGATGTAAATTGAATGTAATGGTATGAACTTGTAGTGAAAATTTAGGATCATTTCAAAAATAAAAATAAAAATAAAATGGCCATTTCTTTTCCTTCAAAAATTTCCAAAATAACAATTTTTTACATCATCTCATTCAATCAAATTTTGACTACAATTACATTGAATAACTTTTTAATGATAGCGACTTAATTTTATTGTAGTCAAAATTTGTTTGAGGTGATGTAAAAAAATTGTTATTTTGGAAATTTTTGCAGGAAAAGAAATAGCCATTTTATTTTTGAAATGATTCTAATTTGTGATCGTCCCAAATTTACACTATAATTTTACACCGCAATTTTATCCACCATTTCAATAAAATTCAGTAACTTTTGAACAGAGCAACCGAATTAATTTGACATTTCTAAGATAATCCTCATTTTTGAATCTTCCTAAATTTACATGACGAATTATCTTTTCTTTTACAGTATTACATGGCCTACGCGCATCAACCCTTCCCCTTCAGGTAAACTTCCATACTTAAATAGCAGAGGGTGACCATTATCTAGTGACCACTAATAAATGACGCCCATAATTTTTTCATGAGAAATTCCGTCCGTCTGAGGCTTACGTTTATGCAACATTTTCAGAAACGGGGTAAGTTTCCGTGTTGGGAATAATTTGCATGATAAGTTAAGTGACGACGAACTATTTATTTACTAGGCGAACCCCGGATTTCATGAAGCCATTGGGGATTCACTCGATTTGACCGTGGAGACGCCGAAGCATCTTCAATGCGCTTTGCAACTCTCGACGGGAACGGAGCTCGATTGCGACGCGATCATGAGAGGCGAACCCGTCGACGCCAAACCGACGGAGGCCGACTTGAATTTGTTGTACTTCAAAGCCCTGGAAAAGGTAGGATTTTGGTTTACATAAGACTGGATGACTCGTCCCCAAAATGAGCACATTTTTAGTCATTTCTCCGCTCTGGGAATTTATTCTAAAATTCTGGACGACAAATTTGCGGCAGTGAGTTGATTAATGGAATGGCGACGAGTTTTTTGAGCCAGTTTCGACGAGTTCCAATTTTTCCGAAGGCTTCCTAAACTTTTGATCTCCTCCTTCAAAAAGTTTCAAAATCTGGAGTGCATATTTCTAAAAAAAAATTAGGAACTCCCTGCTCTACAAATTTGTCTTTTAGAATTTTTAAATAAGTTCCCGGAGCTGAGAAATGATTTAAAATGTGCTGATTTTAACGATAAGTCCTACCTTAAGTTAGGACAATTAAGGATAACGTTTCGAAAATAAATATGTATCACTCGTTACCATTTTTAGTTCCCCATGTTTGGTTTCTCTTACTCGATGGAGAGCTGGAAATGGGAAGCGGCTTCCGGAGCGATGACCCCGGAACAATACAACGACCGATGGTGGGACATTCGTCGCGAGAATCAGGGCCTCATCCCACCCGCGGACAGACCCTCGACGGGATTCGACCCCGCTGCCAAGTATCACATTGTCGCCGATGTGGAGTACATTCGGTAAGAAATAGCGGACATAAAAAGGCGGCGTCACACAGTAAAATGTAAAATGACATGAAAATTGTGTGACTTATGACCTTTGACATTATCCTCACGGTAATGAGTTGGTTAGAGGACAAAAATAATGACGGTGTTGATTTCGTGGTGAAATTTCCTTTAAAATGACGCCACATAAATATGCAAATTAAGGTTGCATTTAATTTTGGACCAGACCCCCTCGCGCCGTGGGGGGTGGTCCGATTGACCCCATTATCGAACTTGATCGCGAACTAAAAATTAGAAGGACATTGGCGGAAACGGCGTTTGATTATGATCATTTGAGGCGTTCTAAAGCGATACGGATTAACAGACGGACGGACAAAATGATCACAATTAGCGGCTGACGCCACTTAATAAATATCAGTTAATTAGTGAATAATTAGTTAATTAATTATTATAAATGTGCAGCTACTATTGGAGCAACATCCTGCAATTCCAGTTCTTCCAGGCGATGTGCATCTACGCCGGAGAGTTCAATCTGGACGACCCCAACAGCAAGCCGCTGTACGAATGCGACTTTTCTGGAAATAGAAAGGCTGGCAAAAAACTTTTGTAAGTAATCAAATCAGCACATTTGTAATACTTTCTCGCCTCTGGAAATTTATTTTAAAATTCTGAACGACAAATTTGCAGTCAGTGAGTTGATTAATGGAATGGCGTTAAGTTTTTGGAGCCAGTTTCGATGAGTCCCAATTTTTCTTAAGGCTTCTTAAATTTGAGATCTCCTCCTTCAAAAAGTGTCAAAATCTGGAGTGTATATTTTCAAAAAATTGGCAACTCCCTGCTCTACAAATTTGTCGTCCAGAATTTTAAAATAAGTTCCCAGAGGCGAGAAATGATTTAAAATGTCCTGATTTTGTCCATGATTTATCGAGTCGTACGTTAAATGACAAAGAAATTGAGGTCCAATGTAATCGATTTTATATGTTAGGAAAATGCTGAGTCGCGGTAGTTCTCTACCTTGGCCGGATATTTTGGAGGAATTTACAGGGTCCCGGATATTAGATCCGGGCCCCATTCTCAACTACTTCCGACCCCTCTTGGACTATTTGGACGGTCAGCTGCAGGAAAATGGGGAAAATGCTTGTTTTGGACTGAACTGTTGAACACGCTCTTTAAAATAATTGACAGATTTGGTGTAATATTTATTTATTTATTTCCTTATTTATTAAATCCTGTTGAATAAAAAAAGTCGTTTTTTTTATGAAATTATCAATTATTTCAAGTGATTAATTAACAATTAGCAATTATAATTAACTACAACTTTTGTTTGGAATGGAAGCGTAGCTTTGTCCGATTATAATTTCAGACATATTTAAATTGTTCTTGAGATACTTAACGAGCTAATTGAGAATAATTTAACTTAAAACTTAACTTTCATAAATTTAACTTTATGCTAAATAGTAGATAACAACGACAGTGGCCGCGGAAGCTTGAGAGGACAGAGGAACAATGTCCCCACGGTTACCTATTCGATGTCCGCATCTTATACAAACCCCTTCCTCCCTATTCTACAATGTTATCGTCCCCAGATGTCCCCACGGCTTCCGCGGCCACTGAACAACGAGGGCAACACACATTCATTTAAATCAATATATACAATTTTTTGGTTTTCAACATTTCCTTACATTTTTAAGGCACTACTTTGTCTACAGGTCACGTAGCTTCTATTTACGGTGCAAACGGGGGGAAATTATCAAACATATTTCGGAAATGTTGAAAGTTTCCGGAAATTTTAGAGCATGGCTTCGACTTTTGATGCACACGCATTTCCGGGAAAGTGGGAGAAATTTTTGAACGGAAATTTTCAAAGATTCCAGGAATTTTCGGCCATTTTTCGGAAATTTTGAGCATTACCGTGATTTTTCAAGTATTTTTAAGGGCCCGTTTTGCTACGAGCTGTGGGAATTTTTCGGGATTTTCTTCCCTCCCGTTTTCCAGGAATAAAGCAGAAAAAGTGAATTTCGAGCATTTCCGTGAATTTTCGAGTATTTTTGGGAATTTGCCGGGATTTCCTTCCCCCCATTTTCCAGAAATAAAGCAGAAATCGAACCCACGCATCACACGCTCTCTTTTTTGTCTAAACATTCTTAATAAATACGTAATCCTATTTACGATTGGTCATTCGCCGAAAAGAAATAAATACAAAAATGATACAAAATTGGTACATATTTTAAAAAAATGATGGTTCTCATTGCGGGAGCAATTTGGCCTTTCTTCGCTGCAGTGAGAGATCCGCGTCATCCACTTCGGACGCCTTGTAATAGTTGTCGGACCCCTCGCCGCGACCTTGCGCGAGTCTTTTGGCGTAAACGAAGAGCACGAGAAAGTAAACGGTCGCGGCGGCGACGTCGATGGTTTGGTAGATCCTGACGTCCAATCCGACCCTTCTGTCGGGGTGGATCAGGGCCCACTCGTGGTACACCTTGAGCGATAACTCGGTCACTTTGCAGAGAAAAAATATCCACATGGGGAACCGAATTAGGTTTAATCGTTCCTAAAGTACATAATAATTAAGAATTAGATGGTTAGTTATTACATCGTGAGACAGCGGATATGTATTTATTTTCAATGAACGACCCAGGGTCAAACTTTGTGGGTGTGTTCCTTACTTAACTAGCATAGATTTCTAATATATTTTTACATATTTCCTCATACATATTTGTACGTTTTCAGATATGTAAATATTTGTAAATATTTCTCTGCTATTATTTGAAAAATTCGTAAATCTTTTACATATTTTTTTCAAAAATACATATATTTCGAAAATATTTCAACGATGTGAGAGACAAAATTATTTTGCTCGAAGAAATTGGATCGCAAAAATTTCACCCCATTAAATTTTAAAATGCAATTTTTGAGGACAGCTTCTTCAGATATTTTTTAAAAATGCGTATATTTTGCAAATATTTTGACGATTTGAGACGAAATTTTGTAGCTTAAAGAAATTGGAACACAAGAAATCGCGAGCATTACACTCAAAATTAAAAATTTTCGGGAAAATCCTTCTTATTTTGTACATATTTTGCCGTTTTTTGGTTTCGAAAATGTTAAATACATATTTCCGTGATTTTTTCGTAAATATATATCCACCCTCTGTACACGTATACCATTCTTCATGGAGGAAAATTGTTAAAAGTTGCTTGTGTACATACTTTCTCCACGCCTCTGAAGATTAGGCAACCCAAGGGGAAGTATATGGCTCCCATGAGCAGAGTAAAAAACGAGACCCACGTTAAACTCGTCTGTAAATAAATAATTCATACGAGTTAATTGTCAAATTTATGTAATTAAATACTGTATATTTTTAATAAATATGTAAATATGATGTCCATTACCATTACCTGCTCGGGACGCCTTAAATACCGGAAATAAAGGAACATTTGCATCATAAAATAAAAGAAGTGGATTGCTCCCAAAAACTGTGAATAAAAAAGTTCAAATTTAATATAAATTGCATTATATTTTGGCATACATAAATGTAAATAAATTCTTTGCCAATTTACAATGTTGATGCTGGCCCCAAAGAAAACTGCGGATCTTAACGAGACACAAAATCTGCAACGCATTGTGACGACCTTTTTTTAAAGTAATGTAATTGATAACCTCTGATTTTCGTTGATCCTGCTCGTGATCTTATTAAACGTTGTTAATACTTTAAACTTGGAAAATATTAAAATTGGCGTCAAATTTTGTGTATATTTTTTTTGCATAAACTTTAGAATAAAATCACAAATGATAATGTTCTTATGACCATAATTTTGAATCCCTATTAAACTGTCGCTGACCGATCACAGTTAGAATTTAGTATGCAGTTCGAGTTACATGGCTTAATTTTCGTATTAAAATATTTACGACAACACGTTGTTCTTAAACCACATTTCGCACAGCAGAAGGATAACTAACTCGCTTTAACGATTTTTTAACACAGTTTATTTAATCACACACACTGGACGAGCGAGGAGATGCTCCAGTTTTACTTTTACAATGTTGCTACATTTAGCTGATGATCATTCATGCCACAAATAGTAATCTGTCCTCTCTTGTCATCATCATCTGCTTAATATCTCTGCTGGAACTGCTGGAGACACAAAAAATGGTCCAAAGTTTATTAATGTTGGTAACTGATCCTTCACCAGATGAGATGAGATGATGGCTTAAAAGTACATAAACCTTGACAAATAATCACGTTTGCAATGAGTAAAAGACGAACTTAAAGAGTTTCCAACTTATCAAGAAAGAGACTGCTGGACTGGAGATCAAACTTTTATCTTTATCTTCGTGTCAATATTTATTAAATGATAAGAAGATTCTCCTTCTCCTGCAAAGTCCAGAGTCTGACTAAAGATAATCTTTAGACGAAAAGTATTTATATATTTATGATAATTTTACTGCCCTTTGTTTTCGTAAATATTTTATTTATCACATAATTTCCTTCTTCAGCAGGGTGAACAATCTGTCTGTCTGGCTGAATTGCATCCTCTCTCATTGTGAAATGCATGTCTGTTCATATGGGATTTAGAAAAAGGTGGCTGGCTGGCTGGGTACCCTCTGCAAAAAAACGGATACCTGTTAAAAGCATGGCTCAACAACCCTTTCTTTCCCCTCCTTAGTTTATTATTGACAAATGCAATGCATTCATGTAAACCAGCGAGCCAACAATGCAGACGAGGTAACAATGAGGAAAACAAAACTATTAAAAGAATCCCGACAAAACATCTTTACCTTATTAAAAAAATAATGTTTTAAACAAATTAAACCTGACGTCAAAATTTGACGGTCAAATTAAGGAGACACTTACAAATTTTATAAGATAACAACACACCGCCGTCGTGATAATCTTAATTTTAAATTTCTATTAAACTACGTTTTTCATTTAAAAAAGCCTACTTTAAAGAAGAATACTTATGTATTTCATTAAAAATACGCCCTGTTTCATTTGCTCGGTCGGTGCCGTTTGGTTTTCTTCCGGTTTTCCTGACTTTCCTTTGTTTCCTTTCTCCAAGAATGATTTCGGGAAAAGTTAGAAAAAGTGGTCATCTACTTTTCTTGGCGTCCCCAGAGCGTTTGTTGCAGGATACTATTTTAGTACATTTTTTTGTACTTAATCTCCATCTTTTCGTCATGTTTAGACGCCGATTAATGGTGTTGATTTATTCTCAACTTTTAATTTAATAAATCCCAGGTAGTTGAGTTCTCAAACAACAACAAGAGTGAATGAATGATTATTTAGGAATTTCGGAAATATTTAGAAAAGGAATCGCAATTTTTATTAGTATTACAAAATTGAGAACTTTTTTTTTCTGAAAATCACATCTGACTAAATAGGACAAAAAGAAATTATTACATGCAAAAAATTGGTGGATAAACAGATTCAATTCATTTGTTCATCATTGTACTTGCTCATCCAATCGGGAGCAACGACTGCAATTTTTTCAATAATTTCATTCACATCAAAACATAGCGATTGAATTTGCTTGTCCCAATACGGTAAACATTCTCTGGCTTCGAAAAAGACGATTTTCTCAATTTGGTCGATATGTCCGGTCATTCGACCCTCGGTGATCATCTGGGACGCGATTTTCTCTGCTTTCTCTTGCGGAATTTCTAACAGTGCTCCCAATCCGGTGAATTGGATGTTATTGTAGAGTTTACTGGCGGCGAGGAGGTTATGCTCGACGACGGCACGTTCCAGAATTGTGGAGCCTGGAGGGAGGATAAGCAAAATAAAATTTTAAATATAATCTGGGTACACGGAGTATTTAGTAGAAATTAGGAGAAAAAGTGTGGACTTTAGTTTCTCTCTGGTGCAATTCTGCACTAATTTTCAAGAATTTACGAAAAAAAATTGAAATATTTTCTAAAATTTGGTTATTTGACTAAAAAAATTAAACGGGACAGTAGTATTTAGTGGAAATTAGAAGATAAAGTGTGCACTTTATTTCCTCTCGGGTACTATTCTGCACTAATTTTCAAGAATTTACGAAAAAATTGAAACATTTTCGAAAATTTGGTTATTTGATTAAAACATTAAACGGAAGAGTAGTTAGTACAATTATGGTTAAAAATTATTAAATACATCAGAAAGTTATATGTCAACTGTTTAAGAAGTTTACAAATATTGGTCCAAAATAAATTAAAGAATTATTTCCAGTGGAATTAGGACGAGCTTTGGTCAAAAATTAGCATTTAAAAAATCGCAGATTTTGGCAGAAAATTGGCCAAGTACTCCGAAATTTACTTGGAATTATTGATCTACTAAAAATTACACAAATTAAGAGATTTCGTATCTCAAACTCATTAAAATTCCACTTTACACATGAATGAAACATTAATTAATTACTGCTCACCATCCGCCGTAATAGCTTTCTGATGAGGTTGCAACATTTCTTCAAACTCTTTCAGCTCACTCTTCTTGATAACCCTTTCCAAATACATTTTCTCCAAAATATTGAAAGCAGGGAGGTTCTGGCATCGCTCGTCTTTAAAGAGCGTTCCCAACATGCGGCTCCTCTGTTGACCCGCGGAAGCGAGAATGGTGCAGATAAGGGCATTTTTTAGGGCAGTGACTCTCTCCTCTTCTGCGATCAAGGCGCGGTACGAGAGTTCATTGTAGCGCTGCGCGGCTTCGATGAATTTCCTGCGGTAATCCAACACTCGGGCGTAGCATACTTTGTACATGACTTGGAGCTCTTCATTTTTTGATTCGTTCTATGGCGAAAAAATTGGTTAATTAATTAATTAATAACTAATTGTTCTTATAATTAAGTATGCATTTTATGTCTTCGCACCTGTAGGAGGGACGCTCGATTAATATACGCTTCGGCTTGAACAGCGTCATCATCTTCTAAATAGAGACGTGCAATTTTGAGATAGGTTTCCAACTTGTAGTCGACCGAGTACTGTCTGTAATATTAATTGAGAATTGGGTACTATTAAAGTGATCTTTGGTACAGGATTGCCTTCAAGCAGGGATAGTCAAAATACAGTAATTTGAGCTCTGTTCTTCCAAGGGTTTGGATTTCCGGACATGTTACACCCACAAAAAGACGAGAATCTGCGTGGAGAAGGCATCAGTCATACGAAAATGTAGATTTTGTGAAGAACTTAACTTTTTATAGCTGTCAAAATACATTATTTTCACGATTTAAAAAAAATAAAGTATTTTGTCAGTGATAAAAAGTTAATTTCTTCATAAAATCCGCATTTTCGCATGACTGCTGAGATGAAATGAATGATACGGTGTTATAGTATTTCGCATCGATGCCACCGAATTTAATTTAAAAAATTGCAAAATGAACTGCGGTTGCATGGATCACCTTACCATAGCTATTTTTGAATTATATGCAACCACCCCCCCTTAAAAAATGGGGGTAAAAAATTGGAAAAAATGAGAAAGCTAATGTGCATTCCGTAAAAAAAGAATTAGACCTCAAGTTGTATTTGACATTTTAATTCCCCCATAAATACAAACATTTTGATGCAGAAAAAGTTTCAAAATTCGAAAATTGGCGGTTTTTCGACCAACATATAAATCGTTAAAAAAGTGACCTTAGCGGTCATTTCTAGTCTGACAACCTGATGCCAGATTTTTCTCCTTGAGAAGAGCTACATTTTCAGCTTTTGTTGGCCGAGTAGAAATGACCGGAACAATGAGTTTTTTGGGGTCAAAGTTTCTGAGGGAGGGGCTTATTTTGCAAGAGCCGTAACATACATACATACATAGTATGGCTGCTTGTGAAATACTACCCATAAAAATAATGATAAAGAATAAAGTTATTAAAGTAGCCTCAAATCGATCTAATTGTTAAAATTAAGCTTTTCTGAATTTATAATGGTGATATTCACTCGAAAATTTACGCTATAGGGCTTATCTTCAGACTTATCAATTTTTCAGATAAGCAAATTTAGTTTATCCAAATCGCCCCAAATTTAAAACTTAAGCTTTTCTGAATTTATAATGGTGATATTCACTCAAAAATTAATGCTTTGAGGCTTATCAATTAAGTTATCAATTTTTCAGATAAGCAAATTTAGTTTATCCATATCGCCCCAAATTTAAAACTCAAGCTTTTATGAATTTATGATGGTGATATTCACTAAAAAATTAACGCTATATGGCTTATCTCCAGACTTATCAATTTTTCAGATAAGCAAATTTAGTTTATCCAAATCGCCCCAAATATAAAACTCTTGAATTTATGTTGACGATAATAGGAGGTATGGTGTCTACTAGACACTGAACGGTAATTTCGGGTTACATATATAATTAAATGAGAGGTGCCTGGTTGGATGAAAAGTTTGCATGGAAAAAGTGAGACGAAGAGAAATGGATTTCATACGACCCTGACTCGAAATGATGATGGATACCCACCGCGAACCACTTTTCTCACTCTGTCTCACATTCCCATGCGAAATATGGAAAACGGTTTTGTGGAACACTTGACGTGGTATTCATCTGCTGTCTTCTCCACGCAGATTCTGGCGTAAATCCAAACCCAATGAGAATAATGGAACTCAAAATACTCTATTTTAAAAATGTATTCTGACAATTCCTGTTGACCTCTTTGTTTACAATTTACATACTTTTGCCCAGTTTCCAACGGAATTCCGGTCAAGACGGTGGCAGCCTCTTTCCATTGTGACTGATTCTCGTAAATTTGTGACAAGTGTTTCCGTATGGCGGATACTTGTTCCTCGAAGGAAATCACGCGAGGTTGAACCTGCATAAAATTATGGCACTAGTTAATTAATGATAAATTATAATTGATTTGGCGACAAATTTGTCCTCCTTTTCTACACATGTCTTGATAATTGATGACAGATAAAATTCGAAATACTGACAAGGAAAGCAATATTTCCTCATTTTTTCACCAAAACTTTTGCGTATTAAATTCAATTAATCGATTTTAAAGTTTTATTCGTATTTAATTTGCACACCTTTTCCAAAGTATAATGAGCAACATCCTTCGAAACCTCGTCCGACAGTTTAGTGAGGGCTGTTGCCACTTCCGTTAGAACGATTCGTGACACGACCAAGGACACGTTTTCCAGAACCACTTTAACAATTTCAATCATTTACAAAATGCGGATAAAGTTATTCTTATCATTTTAGCAACAGTGCCCCCCTTTAATTAATTAATTCTTACTGTGATCTACCAACGCCTTAAGGTTATCGATAAGTTCCGATTGTGTCGATCCAGCTTGAAGAATTCCGTCCAAAATGGCTCGATACTTATCGGATTGGTCTCTATGCGAGCCGGTGGACGTGAGGGCGACCCCGGCCAGTTGTTGTCGTACCCCTCCGGCAGATAAGGACATTGCCATTTCGTGTAGTAAATAACGTGGTCTCGAAGATTAGTTCTTATCGAATAGTGAATTTTCCAAAGTTTAATTAAAACCACAAACTTTTTATTAATTTAATTACGATTCGTAATGTAAAAAAAAATTGTGTGTTTGTGTTTTTGGAAGAAGGATTTTGAAGTTCGCAGCTCGGACCAAGTTGAGAATTTTGATGTGATTTCTTAACAAAAACCTTACAATGATTTTTATCGAATTCCTTTGCAAATTTTCTTTTCCGGCGTATAAATATGCAAGATTATAATTTTGGTAATATTTTTGGTAATAATTTTGGTAATATGTTTAGTAATACTTGGTAATAATTTTGGTAATATTTTTGGTAAAATATTGTTAGTAATAATGTTTGTAATAATTTTGGCAATATTTATCTAAATTATTTATAGCATCATTTTTGGGTAACATAGACATGGATAATCTGAATATCTGAAATTCTCACGTGCGTCTCATTCTCATCTCGTCTACTTCATCCCGTAAAATGATGATATGATGAATGATTCCCTAATTTTGTAATGAATCACCGCATAATGACAAGTTAAATTAAGTTAAGCTTATAATAATACTGATAATAAGCTTTATAATAGTATCTACTTATCATCAGTAAAACTTGCACTTTGGGTTATTTATCATCACCACTCTTTTTCCACGTCATAAGGTTCGTCAAATGACGGAGCATCATCATCATCATAAGTAATTTTTGATCTTTAATCTTCATGCGAGAGTCCAAAAAGAATCCAAAAATTGAGGACAATGGTCAATTAGCGAATGGGTTGTAATAAGTAATTTTTAAAAATAGAGGTCAGCAGGTGGCCACGTAATTAATTGTGTTCCCATTAACTAATTGCCAATTATGTATGTACAAAGTCATTGGATGATAACGTATGTATGACTTTTGCTGCATCCTTTTTTTCTGGACGACAGGTAATAAAGTGCAAAGGTAAATTAGCCTAAATTGTCATCTGCATGCATGCACTGCACTGCAAAATAGTGAGTGAGTCGAGTGCGCTGCTGTTATCAGCATTTTTATGCAGGTGAAAATTAAATTAAATTGATAACCACTTTCGTGTCACTTCACTCATGATGCAACCGGATTTATGGAGAATTTGGACTATGGACGTTGTATGGCCAATGACAGTCTGAGACCTTTCGGGTGCCGCCGCAGTGTCGGTCGGGAATGATAACGAAGTCTGGAAACATGGGAAGTGTAAACAGTGACCGCGGAAGGTGTGGAGACATGTGGGGACATTAACATTGTAAATAGGATAGGGGAGGGAGGGGTTTGTATAAAATGGGGAGATGATGCGGACATTGAATAACCGCCGTGGGGACATTGTCCCTTTTTCCCCACACTTCCGCGGCCACTGTATAAAACTATGTTATACTTGTGCAAGTATTCAGTGGCCGCGGAAGCTGTGGGGACATCTGGGGAAAGTAACATTGAGGGATGGGGGAGGGAGAGGTTTATTTAACATGGGGAGATGATGCGGACATTGAAAAACCGTTGTCCACCCTTCCGCGGCCACTGTCTGTATTAGATTTTCGCTGAATTAAAATAGTGACCAAACCTACCACACTACAAACAAATCGTAAAATAGATTATCTTTTTAGTTATCCCGTAATTTCCTGGCAGGCAGGCATCATCGGTCACTACGAGTCAGAAAAAAATACCCCGAACTAAAGACATCAATCAACCCTCTGATTGGATAAGTACTTATCAACAACGAGATGCAGTTATCATGCATATCAGCACACTTTTTTATGGACTTTCTCCTGGACTCCTCCTATGTAAACTGTACATATGCAAATTAATCATGATGGCCGTCGTGTGACTAAAGGTCTCTCACCTCTCGAGGGTATAAAACCGTTCCGCCGGGCAGGTTTCGTCCTCAGTTGCAGTTTGAAGCTTGTTCTCGTCTCTTAAATAAATTTCCTGGAAACTTATCCGTCGCGAAAATGTCCATCATTGGCAAGTACGATCTCATCTCTGACCCCAACGACGCCGAGTGGGACACTTACCTTAAGACCGTCGGGGTTTCGGATGCTCATAGAGAAGCTGGTAAGTAATTTATTTTTCCGTAATTCTATAAAATTGGGTGGTAGAAATTTGGTAAATTTTGGTACAATTGGTAAAACTAGTTTGTAAAATTGGTAAAATTCGATGGTAAAATTGGTAAAACTGGTTGATAAAATTTGTCGAGATTCAGGATTTTCAGGATTTTATAAAATTTGTTGGAAAAATTGGTAAAATTTATAGAATTAGTTGGTAAATTTTGGTAAATTTTGGTAAATTTTGGTAACATTGGTAAAATTGTTGTTCAGGTGCCATGGTCAAGCCCTCCATTGAGATTTCCGAGGCTGGTGGCAAGTACACCTTGAAGACTTTGTCCGAGCTGAAAAATATGGAAATCAGTTTCGAGCTTGGCAAGGAATTTGACGAGACCACTGCGGACAACAGGCAATGCAAGGTAGATACATAGAAATTAGCAGATTTCTCGTGGTCAGTGTATCCAAAATGTGCATATATTTATTTGCACATAGACCATCTTCACCAAGGAAGGGACCAGCAAACTCATCCAGGTCCAACAATTGGACGGCAAAAAGTCCCAAACCGTTCGAGAATTCACGGCTGGAGGAATGAACGCCGTCTTTTCGGCGGAAGGCGTCTCCGCCACCCGAAAATATAAGAGGGTGGGTTATCAGAAATAATTGGAGATTAGGTGCATAATTTTAGTCGTATACATAATTTCAAACGAATTTTATTCACTTATCTTACAGGTCAATTAAGTGGAACGCCGTTACCAATTAATTAAATTAAAAAATTAAAGGATGTGCTTTCTAAAGTAAATGAGATAAATAAATCAAAATTTGGCTGAAAATTTCCTAAAAACATTTGTGATCACATTAAAAAATATATTAAAATTAAGTTCTACGACATACTCTTCATCATGGCAAGGAGATTAAAATCTTGGGAAAATGTGACCAATTCATACCGTTTCACATTCATAATTAAAAATTAAATTAAAATTTTAGCTTTTATCGCTCTTCAACATGTCAAATTGGACTAAAACTTGCAAAAATCTGGTCAATTCATATTTTCAAAATCACACAAAATTTCCTACTCCTCATCCCGATCATCAAATTCTAACAGACGAACACGTGCGTCTCCTTCATCATCATCTTCCTCCTCATCCCCACTTTGGCCGCATAACTGCATTTCTTCGTCATTATCTTTCAAATGGAAGGACGTCGTCGTGACCAATTTTCTTGTCAATTTATTATTCTTCCGCTTCGTCGTCGTCATTTGAATTTCCGCTTCCGGTTGGGACGGTGGGGACGGCGGCGGCGGGGGTGGGGGCTGCTCGATCAGCGAGGCAGTACTGGAATCCTTATGGTAACTATATTCTCCCCGCCGAATCGCGGCCCGCCGGCGGGACCCCGATTTATTAGCGAGGGGAACAAATTTGGCGAGCTGTTTAAAGCGGTGGGGACCGCTGTAGTTGTATTTGTTGACGAACCGGTATAAAAACAGGGTGACGGAAACGATATGGAGGGACGGGATGAGGAAGTGACCCGTCCACTCGAAGCGGTGCGAGTGCGGCGAGTTGAGCGCGGAATAGGTCGCGCTTGGGTTGTTTTTATCGCGCAGTTGTCGAAACACTTGTTCCACAAAGTATTCGACAACTTTGTAAATGAAGAGGAGCAAGGTGGGCCAGCGGACCAGGTTGAGGCGTCCCTGGATGGATGGACGTGAAATTATTGACAATGCAATGGTGTGAAGTGTGACCCTCCGATTTGGTTGAAATTTTGAAATTACGTGGTCCAAGTCAATACAACCAACGTTTCTTGAGCCAATTTGTGCGATGGCAGAGAAAAGTGGATAAGCCTCCTAAAGGAGACCTAGAAGACTCAACTCCATAAGGCTGCGTAAGCCACGTTAACAGCCAATCGCAGGAAAGGACGAGGTTTTCGGACTTTTTCACCATAACCTCTCAGTTTTTTCGGCTTCTTAAACAATCGAAAATATACATTTGTTTCGATTTTGGCGTACAAACTATACATTTTACTGCATTTTTGATAAACTCAGACTCCGAAAATTAAAAGAACATCAAATTAAAAATATTTAATTTAACAAATTTTCTGATTGGCTGGCCACGGGAGGGTGGGGTCGAAAACCTCGTCCCCCTTGGTTATTGGTCAATTTGGCTCTCAATGTGGCTTATGCACTCTTATTACTCTACATCTTCTATGTTCAATGGTGCGATGGTCAGAATTTGGCAAAATATTTGAGGACAAAGTTAAAAACATGCGATTTTTAGCAAGGGAAGGGAATGGAAGTTGAGTTTGCTTTCTCCGCCTGGTAAAAATCGCCCGTTTTTCAACTTTAACCTCAAATATTTTGCCAAATTCTGACCATTGCACAAACTGCCTCAAGAAACGTTGTGTGTATTGACTTGGACCACGTAATTTCAAAATTTCAACTAAATCGGAGGGTCACACTTCACACCATCGCATTGTGAGAAATGGAGATCTCCATTGAACATACATTCATATAGAAGATGTAGAGTAATAAGAGTGCATAAGCCACATTGAGAGCCAAATTGACCAATAACCAAGGGGGACGAGGTTTTCGACCCCACCCTCCCGTGGCCAGCCAATCAGAAAATTTGTTAAATTAAATATTTTTAATTTGATGTTCTTTTAATTTTCGGAGTCTGAGTTTATCAAAAATGCAGTAAAATGTATAGTTTGTACGCCAAAATCGAAACAAATGTATATTTTCGATTGTTTAAGAAGCCGAAAAAACTGAGAGGTTATGGTGAAAAAGTCCGAAAACCTCATCCTTTCCTGCGATTGGCTGTTAACGTGGCTTACGCAGCCTTATGGAGTTGAGTCTTCTAGGTCTCCTTTAGGAGGCTTATCCACTTTTCTCTGGGAGATCTCAAACCAGATTTATAAATCTGATATCCAATGACGTTAAAGGATAAATTTTCCAAATTTTTCCAAAGGGTACTATTCCTTTCAGACTCTCGATCCACCGAAAAGAGCTTTGGATCAAGCAAGTCCGACGTCGAAAAAAAGCGTCCAGGCACGACGTCCAAGAATTATATTAGCCGAGAAGCCGAATTATCCTATTATTTAACATAAGGGACTTCTACGCCAAAATAAAATAAACTGGTGTTAAATATTAGGGAGTTTGCATGTATACTTCCGTAAAAAATTTCCGTGACGTAGCAACGTGATTCCGTAGCTTTTCACGGAAATTTTTCACGTCTTCACGTTGCGGAGGGCGACAGTTTGCATAAAAACACCCAACGTGACCCGTAGTAAGACATCCGTAATTTTTCACGTATTTACGATGTTTTCTCTGTCGCTACGTTTAAAAATCAACGTGAAAAACTAATTTTCACGGACGTTCTACGGACTCAACCATTTCTACAAAATTGGTTCAAATTCGAAAAGTGACAGCGTTTTGAAAATTCAGATTTTTTCAAATTCCGTAACTGGCGTAAACATTCACATTTTGGAAAACCCCAAAACATATGGATCCGCTTATTTCTGAGCGTGAACAATTTTCCAATTTTCCAATCGGGATAAATTGGCGATAGCCATCTCACACCTCCCCAGTGTTAGATTGACTAACAATGGAGGTCTCCTAACGCACATATTCTTACAGTTTTCGAACAAAGTAGTCTCAATCGATCAAAAATTTAACTAGTATGAAATTTGCAATATTTGCACCCAAAACGGAGAGTAAAATCGGTGCATTTTGCAGATGAATTTATTAATGTTAATTAAGATAAACTAATCCCTGGACTTTTCTTAACGATTTTATAATTGGCATTAATTAGTAATTAGAAAGATGTGGAAGAAGGACTGAAATGGTTGAAATTAATTAGTTAACAAATTTTCTAAATGCAACTCGGATTTAATGAAACACAATCTTTTTAAAAAAAGCTTGAAAATGAAAAGTGTGGGAGGTCGCTTATCTCCGTCAGGTTAATGCTGGGAAGGGTTTTGAAATTTCGTCGGACGTGGTACCTTCTCAATTTCGTAAATCTCGCTTAATCTGGGAATGAAATAACTCCTGGAAGAAATAACGCCCTCAAGTTCTTTCGAGTAAGGTGATACATATTTAATTTTAAAATTTGCATCAACAAAAATTTTTGTTGATAATTCTAAAATAATTCAAAACTAGGAGTAAAAATTGGAAGAAAACATACGTAATTACGTATTTATTAAGGGGTGAAAACCCCTTTATGGAAATGTCTTGTCTGTCCGTCCGTCCGTCCGTCCGTCCGTCCGTATCCACGATAGCTTTAGAACGGATTCGAATTTCGACATCCGGTTTTCGCCAATGTGTTTCTAATTTTTGGGGACGGGATGAGTTCGAAGATGGGCGTTGTAGGTCGTAAGGTCACGGCGCCACGGTGATGACGCCAACGGTCAAACGTGTCGAATTTTTTTGTTTCCGCCGTTTTAGACGTATTTTTGAACGGGAATTTCAGAAATCGCCACAATTTCGACGTGAGATGACCGTGTGACCGTGTAGACGACGCCAAAGTCGAAAATTGTCGAATTTTTTGTTGTCACCGTCTTAGACGTATTTTTTGGCGGGGATTTCAGAAATCGCCATCATTTCGACGTGCGACGACTCCATGACCGTGTGGGAGGTGTCGAATGTCGAAAAATGACTTTTGTCATGTGGGGTGTTTATTGAAAGGTATGGGCGTGTACGGTTGAACTACGCGGGTGGGGTGTCAAAGCGGGGCAAAATGAGACGTGGGGTAATGTGAGACAATGACGGGAAAGTGCTGAAAGACGTTGTGGGCGTGCCACAAAGACAATTCCGTGTGTTTTCACCCCTTTGCTACATTTCGTTTGCAACGGTTTATTTATTTGGGGAATTGCAAACTATAATTCCGTAACCGTGAAACGTACAAAAAAGATGCGATTTTACGTTACGGTTTACGACACGGACGTCAATTTGCAAACTGTCACAACGCAACGTCGACGTAGTATAAAAATCTACGGTTCTACGTCACGATCAGGGTCCACGGAAACATTCATGCAAACTCCCTAATAGGATAATTCGGCTGACTCGGCTAACGTAATTCTTGGACGTCGTGCGTGGACGCCTTTTTTCGACGTCGGACTTGCTTGATCCAAAGCTCTTTTGGGTGGATGAAGAGTCTGAAAGGAATAGTATGCGATCCGATTTTGAGCAAATTAGTGTCGGAATCGATCACAAATTTAATTAGGATGAAATTTGCGAAAGACACGATCTCCCAATTGGCACGTTTGGCAGACATATTTTCATCCCAAGAGGAGAAAACGCAAAGTAAATTTTGGAAACTGTAAAATGTTAGAACGTGTCCCTATGTAATTTTGTAAAGGATTGAATTTATATTGATCAACACCATTTAAAATATTTGAAGTAAATTGGATATCATAATTTTCACGTTAGATTAAACGGTTGAGGTTTTTTGTGACACACTTGCTAATTTTGGACAAAAATTCTCTTGATTTTTATGAAAGTAGCTCCTTACTCATTCAATTTTTTATCCGTTCGTGTCCGAAATCCGAATTCATTAACAAAATCCATTTGAAAAAAATGTATCTTTTGCAAAATTGTAAAGGACACGGTCTCCCACGTTTGACAGACATATTTGCATCCGAAGAGGAGAAAACATACAGTAAATTTGGAAAGTGTAAAATTTATCGACTTTAGGACGCATCGTTTCCTCCTTCATTTAGGATTAGTGAAGGATTGAATGATGAAATTTGTATTGATTAACGCCATTTAAAATATTTAAGGCAGATTGATATTTACCACTTTGCAAGTTAGATGTACATAATGGAAGATTTAAATTTGTGACACATAATTTTGAAAAAAAAATCAGTTCGTTTTATAAAAGTAGCTCCTTACTCATTCAATTTTTAATCCGTTTTTGCCCAAAATCCGAATTTTTAAACAAATTCTATTTTTCCAATATGCGCTACGTTTCGCAGAGATATGTGCATCCGAAGAGGAGAAAACGTGCCCTAAAGTCGAAAAATGTACACTTTCCAACTTTACTGCGTGTTTTCTCCTCTTCGGATGGAAATATCTCGGATTGGGGGATCGTGTCTTTCGCAAATTTCATACTAATCAAATTTGTGATCGATTCACACTTAGTTTCTCAAAATCTGATCGCACCCGCTGGGAGACCTCCATTGTTAGTATGCAGATTAGTAGATAGATACAAAATTTTCATGGAAATATTTACGTACATTTTCTAACCCAAGGACACACATGTAGCCCAGCGTTAGAAGAATGAATCCATCCCAGAGACGCCAACTTGTGTCCTGTGGATGACATTTTATGAATAATAATTAATAAATTTGAAATTAATAAGTAATTAATAAGTGTGTAATTAATATCTGAATGAGGTGCATACGTTTTGCTGTAACAGTGAGGAGGAGGTTAATCGGATGAAAAGCGAATCTACCACCGTGACAAATCCGTCTTGCTTAAATTTCCAAACGTTTTTTTTATGAAAAGTTTTGAAATCGAAACTTTATAATAGATTTTTATGTTTTTATGCATACCACGAAATAGGCTGACGTTAAGAGACACGTTGCATGCAGCGATATCCGCCCAGAGTTCCACAACCGTTTTATGAAGGACTTCACTCTTGAAATTGTATTCTCCATGGGTAAAAAGGCGACTTTTATTTAAAACGATATGAAAATATGAATAGCTGTATTTCGAAATCAGTCCGAATTTGGATGTCAGGTTAGAGGAGAAAGCAAATATGCAACGTTACAGGATTTTAATCAGCTATGAAAATATGGCTGTATTTTTATGTATGAATTTCGAAATCAAGCCGAATTCGGTTTGTTGTTATGTGCAGTCGGCATTGTAGCGGAGACTGGACTGGACTTGGATGCCAGGTTGGTTAGTTGGAGGAGAAAGCATCATAAGCAACATTTTTTTGCATCCTCGATTTACTCTCTCACGCTAATCCAAAGTATAGGAATCCATGAAAGACATTACTCTTGTCTCTTATTCTGACTTATTTTTATGCCGGGGAGATCCATCCACAAATTTTAAAAAATTATGGAAAAACGAAATTTTTCTCTAAATTGTGACGCCGTTAGTGAAATTTTTTGAAGGGTACAATAATAAATATGCAGTTAAAGATTTGATTTGAAGTAATTGTAATTATAACACTCCCTCCTTTTCTATCTAAACTTTGCATTTCACATTATTTAACGAAAAAATGTTTCCCGATGCGGACAAAATTAGTTGAGTATGTAAATTACTTGTTATGTTGGACTGATGGTAAAAAAAAGTGGAATCTGTGCTTTCTCCCGACTTTCTCAATTTGGATGATGGGCCGAGGAGAGAAAGTGGGTTATGTTATGCAGGTTGGCGTGAATCCATAACCGCACACGTACATACGGTTCATGTCCATGTCTCGTAATTGATATTGATGGAGATTCATCTCTGATTTGATTTGGTATTTATGGCTTTTATGGGATCCTTTTACCTCATGCGAGGAGCAGGTGTATCTATCTCGTATCTGGTGCAGTGACCGCGGAAGGCGTGGGGACATTAACAGTGTAGGATAGGGGGGAAGGCGTTTATATAACATGGGGAGATGATGGAGACATCGAATAACCGAGGCGACATTACCCCACGCTTCCGCGGCCACTGATCTTGTAGCGTGGCATCACGAGTATTGATCTGGTATTGCGTATTATTGGTTGCACAATTTGTTGGCTACTTCCTTCATATAAAACTGGTTTTTTATTGGAAACATATTGGATTGATTTTCGGACAATTCATATTTTCCAGTTATAAAATGAACAATATTTTAACAATAACTTAACATATCGGAATTATTTAAGTAAGCGTTTTCTTAATTACATGAACATTTACATATAGGCAGTAAAATTCAGAATATTTTTATGTCCAGGACTCGATGCCTCATCGCCAAAATCATCAGAATCGTTTTTTAATCATTTCTCGCCTCTGGGAATTTATTTTAAAATTCTGGACGAGAAATTTGTAGAGCGAGTGGTTGCCAATTTTTAAAAATGTGCACTCCAGATTTTGACACTTTTTGAAGGAGGAGATCTCAAGTTTAAGAAGCCTTCAGAGAAAATTGGAACTCGTCGAAACAGGCTCAAAAACCTCAACGCCATTCCATCAATCAACTCACCGACTATAAATGTTTCGTCCAGAATTTTAAAATAAATTCCCAGAACAGAGAAATGATTAAAAATATGTTAATTAATTTTGACAATTTTAGACATCAGTCATCTCCTCCTAGTCATATTTCGACTCCTTTAACGCTAAATCAATAAAATGCAGCAAACATCGTAAAACTGCACTAGATTATGTTACAAAATCATAAAATTCTGAGTACATTGTCAGAAATTTAAACCAAAAAATCGTTATAGCATCATCTCAGTCGTTATCTTTTTTTGGAATGCGACAAAACTTGCATTGAACTATTCTTCTGGTGGAATTACAACCTCAAATTTTTCTTATCGGGCCCAGCGACGTAAATATTTTGATTATTTGACACGTCCTCGTCACACTCTGCGTCGATGTATTCGGGTTCTTTGCCGTCGGAGTCGATGTCCTCGTAGTCCTCCTCGTTTTGCGAGGGTCCCGGCGTCGGCGGGGGAGCGGAGGGTCGAAGGGTGGCGGATTCTTCGATCTCGATGGTGGGTTTGTCCTGCTTGTTCTTTTTGGCCTTTTTGTTCTTGTTTTTCTTATTGTCTTCATTTTCACGAGGGACTTTTGGAGGGTCGTAGTAGCGATCCTCAATCTCAAAGTTCTTCTTCTCCTTGCGACTCGGATACGTGCCGTTGACGAGGGCTCGGCTAGAATAATTAATAATTAATTAGTGGATTTAATACTTGTAAATTATGATGTACATGCTTCCATGAAAATCTTGTATCCACTAATTTGCAATGGAGGTCTCCCAGCGTATGGGATCCGATTTTGAGCAAATTAGTGGTAATTGATAAAAAATTTGATAGTATGAAATTTGCAAAAGACACAATCTCCCAATGGGCACGTATGGCCGAGATATTTGCATCCGAGGAGGAGAAAAGGCGCAGTAAATTTGGAAAGTGTACAATTTGTGGACTATAGGATGCGTTTTCTCTTCTTCGGATGCAAATATCTCGGCCAAATGTGCCAATTCGGAGATCGCGTCTTTCCCAAATTTCATACTAACTAAATTATTGATCGATTCACACTAATTTGCTCTAAATCGGATCCCATACGCTGGGAGACCTCCATTGTCAATTGTCATTGCACTACATACATATTTGTAATTTCTTTAAAGCTATAATTTCAGGTAAAAAGTTGCATAAATCGAGGAGGTAAATTAATTCCACATGTAGAGAAAGTTGGACGCCAGGTTGCATATTTTTAAGAAAAAACTTAATACTCAAGTATTTAAAAGATAGCGTAAACCCCTGCTGGTAATATTAAATTTGTTATCGATTGACACAAGTTTGCCAAAAATAGGATAGCATACGCTCGGAGACTTTTATTCTCACAATTCGATGGTGTGAAGTGTAACCATCTGATTTGGTTGACATTTTGAAATTGTGTGGTCCATGTCAATACAACTAACGTTTCTTGAGGCAGTTTGTGCAATGGTCAGAAGAATTTGCCAAAATATTTGAGGTCAACGTTGAAAAATGTGCAATTTTTAGCACATGAAGAGAATGGAAGCTGAGTTAGCTTCCTCCGCCTGGTAAAAATCGCCCGTTTTTCAACTTTAACCTCAAATATTTTGCCAAATTCTGACCATCGCACAAACTGCCTCAAGAAACGTTAGTTGTATTGACATGGACCACATAATTTCGAAATTTCAATCAAATCAGAGGGTTACACTTTTAGTGTGGCTGCTTAATTAGTCACCTGTATTTAAGTAGAACGACGAAATATATCAAGGAGCCGACCAACGAGGCGATAAATCTCTGCAAATGATACGTCCTGGTCATGTCAGCATCATCGTTTTCCTCGTCGGGAAGATAGATTCCGAGCACGAGGTGAGATCCAAGTTCTAAAAGTTGGAGAACTAGTAACAATCGTGTCGTCCACTGCATAACTTTCCCCGATTCCTGAACGAAATAATTCAGTAATTAGCGAAATATTTTTGCAAAGTAAATATTGTTGTGTTAAATTTTTTCGTACGTTTTGCACTGCGAGGAAATTGATGCAGCCCAAGAGGACGAAAAGTGTGATATACACGAGCAAAATTGGGTACAAGATTTGTTTCCGACTCTGCAATAAATAGGACGTCAATTATGTAAATGTTTAAAATAATCAATTAATAAGGATTCACGGTAGTTTCTTTTATTCGTAAACATCGCATAAGTTTACGAAGTTTATGAACGATGCGAATTTTTGCCCAGAAAACACATTGAATCATTTATGCGAAGCTTACGCAGCTCCAAATTCGCAAATTTAGCATCAAAAACTTTGCATCTTGTTTATTGTCAGGTACCCAATTCCATTGTCATTCTGACCAAAAAATGTCAAAAATTGCGAGCAATTTGAAATAATCTAGGTCGTTCATGAGGACAATTTAGCCATGTAAAGAATTTAAGTTGTGAAACGGCATTAGCGAAACTCATGAATCAATTTATTCATTAATTTTGTCCTTACGTCTTCAAAGTAGTCGGCATGTAATCCTTTAATGACTGACATTACGACCCAATTGTTAAAGAGGTAGAGTCCGATAAACTGTGAAAGTGAAAAATGAGGGGAAATTATTAATTTCTGGCTTTAGTTTGTAAATTAGTGGGGGACCTCAGACACACGAAAAAATCGTCGCTTAGAATTTCGCTTCATTTTTCGCTTATCGATAACATGGCCAAAATTATGAAAATTTCAAAATTTTGTTCCGATTGTAGCTAACCGACCCTAACCCCAATTCTGAGTTGAGTTTCTGTTCGCTTGCCCCAGAGCTCGCTTATCAGGAGGTAAGCGAAAAACGAAGCGAAGTTTTAAGCGACGATTTTTTCGTGTGTCTGAGGTCCCCCAGTATGTACAAGAACATGGCTTACAATTTGGACAGAAGTTACATAATAGGCGGCCCCTCGGAGCGAGCTGCACACCCCACAACAGGTCATCCTTCCTTATTTTTGTAATGGGTACTAAACTAAAACTTAATTTATTTAGGGACTGTCTAAATACCCGGGTGTTTACTTTCACTTCCTAAAACTCGGTGGTTCTTTTGGGAGAAAGCCACGTTTCTCTTGCCCACATGGTTTACAGTGTAAACTTTACACACTTTCACTAAAGTAGGAAATGTTCTATGCTAAAATTTTCATCTCTTTGGTGGGTTTCTTCCTTTTTTCAGGAAGACGAAATGTTCTGAAGCTATTTAGGCGGAGTCAGACAACGATGTCCTTGGTTCCACTTTATAAATAATTTAGTACACAAGAGTTAAATAAATGGTTCGCAAGTAATCCAGCGGACGAGGCTGTACATATAGTCATCTTCATATAACAAACACACTGATAATTGATGATGTAGTTTAAGTAGATTACATGGCCCACATTAGTATGCAGCCGTATATGATTAAATACACTAATCTAATTGTCATATGTAATGTGGTGGTGAGTATTATCGTTTTCAGTTTAAAATTGGACTATTGATAGATTTCTTGGGAAAATGAGTATTTTTAAAGGAGAGATGGGATTATTCAAAGGATTATTCAATTTATTTATTAGCCATCATCCTGTCAAGAAGTGGTTGGTCGTATCATATGTATTGCTACATGCGTTTTAAAAAGAAAAATCTGGTTGTTGTCTGTCTCTCTACTCATGGCATGGTGTTGGTCTTGTAAATACGAATTTCATTGGTGTAATAAGTACTTGTAGGTACATTACATATGTACGTATAAAGAGAGGTTGTTCTCTCTTAAGGATTCACTTTATATGGGCTTTTTGTATTTAGGATCAATGTGGGGAACGTATGTAAGTGCGGATGTAATAAGTAGTAAGTAGGGTGGCTGGATAAACAAGTTGAGATTCCACGTAGCAAATGGTGTAAAAGGTTTAACCCTTTATTCCCAATGAGACATGGTAAATACAGTAAATGCATCTGTAAGTTGTGATGATGTGTATGAAATGAATCCCGTAGTTCTTTTACGCGATAAATTTGCATGCATTATTACGACAGAATGACAGCTTTATTAATGCATGCATTGCAGATATGTTATGTATTTGTATGCAAATTAGTAATTGGCACGTTGGCAAATTATTTGGCAGAGAGGAATTGAGTATGCAGTGTGAAAGAGGAGTAAATAAATTAGATTTCTTATTGATTTCAGGAAGCAAGTAAAGTTTATTATTCTATTTAAACTCGTTAATTAATTAGATTAGAATTTTTTAGTACTTTTACAAACTTCGTATCGCACTTCGAATTTTCCATCGTTATTATTTCCGGGAGTGGCTTCCTTATTGAAGGCCTTGTTATTTTGCGGAATTATATCATGTTGCAAATCACTGGCGCCACCGCCGTTAATCAGGAGCGGGTGCGGAATCACTTTTTCCGCTTCTAACCATTTTATCGTGTTTTCACCAAAGCCGAGGGTCCCGAAACCCGACAAATTTCCCGCGATGCGACCCCCATTGGAAATCATGCCCCCTGGAGAGGACCCCAATCCTAGGAAGCGAGGTTCCCACTCGGATTGTTGAAACTTCCATTCGGATTCAGCCTCTTCACGGGAGAGTTGGCGGATGTAGAGGACCTACAGAATTTTAAAATGAGTAGAAATTAGTGGACAAAATTTATTAATAGTCTTCAAAAAATATGAAAGGTTTCCTGGCAGATTATTTTATTAATTTGCATTACACACAAATTTTAGTGGAAAACGAGGAAACTCTTTATTTTGAATTAGGTCCAAATTGCCAAAAACTATGTACCTAATCCTAATTACATACAAAGTTGATTTTACCAAAATTTTAAAAAATGGTGGCAAAGTTAGTCAAAATTACATAGACTCAAATTAATCAAGATCATACTAAACTAGAAAAAAAATTTGGTGACTAACTTTGCCACCATTTTTTAAAAATTTGGACAAAATTAACTTATTTTTATTACTTAGATATTGTTTATATCCATTAATATTATGTGTATGCGTTGAATGAATGGCAGATAACATCAAATTAGCACTCTAAATAACCTCTCAGAAAATTTTTCGAGCTTATATTAATTGAAGTTTGCTGAACAGTAGTGGTCCAAGATTAGAAATTAGTGGACATGAATGATTTATTTTTCATGGGGAAAAGTATGTATGTATTTACCATTGAAATGACGTAGAAGAAGACAAAGACGACCCGAGCGGACAGGGTGGCGATGCAATTCGCCGAGTTGTACGAGTTGGGATGGAGGACGAAATACATGGCGAGGGCGACCACTTCTATCGTCAAAAATATAACGCCCGTCCACTGCATTAATTGACGCCATTCCTGCATGCAAAAATAATTTCGAGTTAGGATGAAAAATTTCCAGGAATTATTTGCTTAATACCTTTTCTACTGCTCTGAATATTAGTAGCGCAGTGACCGTGGTGGCCAAATAGTACATGGATTTGGCGAGAAGGTCAATGCTGTCTTCGGAAACCTGGGAATTTTGGATTTATTTTATTTTTATGTTTTGTAAAATAGTTTTTATGAAATTTTACCGTGATTTCCAAATCCGTTTTTCTACTGTCCATGAAATACGTTCTGAGGAGGACGTTCGTCATGACCAAGTTTAATAAGCGGCGGACCCCATCATACTAGTTTTAAAATATTAATCAAATTTACATTTCGAAATTTTATGATTTTTTTTTAAATTTTAATTTGTATCAAATTTTTATTTATTTCACTTACGCTATGAATACTGGCAAAGAAATAGCAAGCTCCTCGAAATGAGACTTTATGAATGCATAAACACCAACAAAATTCTACACACATTTTTTGGCTTTTGTACTTTTACTCTTATTTTTGCCCAGATTTTTTAAAAAGATTTCCGGAAATTTTTAAATTCTTCACACTACGACGACGTCTAAGACGACCTTCATTTCAAGATTAGGAAATTGAGACCGGATCAGAATAGTGCAAACGAAATGAAATGCTTGTAGCTGGCTTGGCTGCCGTGAACTCTTTGTAAGAACGGGATTTGTTTGGCATTTGGCAAAACGCCTCGCATTTAAGAAAGAGATGCGAATAAGTAATATGCATAAGAAGAGAGGTAACAGTAACCCGACAAGTTTTGGTTCATTTGGTCATCTCCTCGCTTACATATATACAGCATAGATTGCATCTCATCTCATCTCATCCCCCCTCACCTGACCAGATCCACGAACAATAACAACACCTTGACACTTGGTAGAAAGAGCTGGCTTGTTAAGTTAGTTATTAAATGCGTCGTCTTCTTCCTCCGCAAGTTGGTCACAGCTTAGGGATGGAGGTCTCCCAGCGTGTGCGATCCGATTTTGAGCAAATTTATGGGAATCGATGGCAAATTTAATTAGGATGAAATTTGCAAAGAAGTGATCTTCCAATGGGCACGTTTGGCAGGGATATTTGCATCCCAAGAGGAGAAAACGCATCCGAAAGTTGACCAATTTGACACTTTCCAAATTTACTGGACGTTTTTTCCTCTTCGGATGCAAATATCTTTACGAAACGGATCGCGTTTCTGAGAATTTCATCCTAATCACATTTATGTATCATTGATTGGCACTATAATTTCGCAATCACATCCCAAATTTAGTTAGGATGAAATTTGCGAAAAAAACGATCTCCCAATGGGCACGTTTGGCAGAGACACTTGCATCCGAAGAGGAAAAAACGCGCTGTAAAGTCGAAAAATTTTACACTTGCCAAATTTACTGGACGTTTTTTCCTCTTGGGATGCAAAAATTCCTGCCAAACGCGCCCATTGGGAAATCATGTCTTTCGCAAATTTCATACTAATTAAATAAATTTGTAATCGATTTCCACTAATTTGCTCAAAATCGGATCGCATAAGCTGGGAGACCTCCATTCTCAGTCAGTGATAATGCTACTAACCCTAAGCGTCCCTCCCGTTTACATTGGATTGTCCCGTCCCACAGATTCGATTAGGATTAAAATGGGTCCACCCGTTAGTCTGTTGACCAAGTTGATTTCATGGTCAAATTAAATGTACTGCACTTTTTCCTTCACCTCACACAAAGACATCTTCAGACTAAACCAAGTGCAGTGAAGAGTAAAAGGATGCATTGTGAAGGATGATGAACCGTTGTATTTTTATCCCGAACCAGGGCTTATGTAATTGTCATGTCCGTCCGTCTGTCCGTCCGTCTGTCCGTCCGTCTGTCTTTCGATAACTCTCGAGCGAGTTGACCGATTTGGACCAAATTTTGTACAGACATGCATCTGGGCAATGCAACGACCGAGTTCGAAGATGGGTTCGATCAGAAAAGTTTTGGACCGGTGGGGGTCATCGGAGTGGGTAGAGTATTATGCACCAAAGTTTCAAAATTGTTCTAGAGAGCTGAAATTTGGCATAGAGGTTGCTAATGGCTCCTAATGAAAGAATATGAAGTGAAATTGGAAAATTTGTCAACCGGAGGTACCCGAGCGGGTGACCTATACCGATTTTTCAAAATCATCCAATCGAGCTGAAATTTGGTATAAAGGCTGCTTATGGCCCCTAATGAAAGAATATGAATTGAAATTGATAAAATTTTTATATTCCGGAATCCGTTGGGGTGACCCATACCGATTTTGAACTTGTCGCAAAAAAGCTGAAATTCGGAACGGTGATACTTAATGGCTTCTCATGAAATTATATGAAGTCAAAGACGAACAAAAACTCACCAGTGGGGTACCCATACCGATTTCTAAAAATTTATATATTCAGCTAAAATTTAGTGAGGAGTCAAAAAATAACTTAGGATTCGAATTTTGGAGGGTTAAACTTCGAAATTTTTATAGAAACAGCCTCCACTGTTCGTGGTATTTGGTACCAAGTAATACTACCAACTGACGTTAGTTAATGCAAAAATTAGTGAAAAATAGTATAACATTCTGACAAACATGGGTTTACTAATCAATCCTGGTTCGGGCTGAGCAAAGCTGTACTGATAGGTTTTTATTGATTGATTCGGCATCATCGATTGATTGGTAATTTGCATGCGTAGAGAGGGAGGGATGAACTAATTTTTTTACATGAATTGGATAAAAAAAGAATGATTAAAATTCTGTCGAACAAGACGAGATGTATGTAAATATTTCTATTGTGATTGTAATTAGATAGAAAAAAAAGAGAATGACACACACGGCGCGTCAGCATCTTCCGTCCCCCGCAGCTCGATTGTTAATTGTTGTGAAGAGACGTATTTATTGGTAGGACGGAAAACAATCGTATTTTTATGCAGATATGTAAATGTTTTGTGAATGTGGGTGGGTCAGAAAATTAGGGTTCGGTAAATGAGCTTCTGTTTCTGTTTTTTGGTAAAATTGGAACGAACGAAGTTGGAGAGAAAGAAGGCCGTTTCGGTTTAAAAAATCATGCGTGTTACGGGTGGAAATTTATGTATGATCTTTGATCTGAAATACATATGTACATAAATGTATTGATGTTAGTGGTCAAAAAATTAAGGTGGAAATGTAGCTTCTATTTATAAATATTTTTCTGTAAAATTGGAACACGAGGTAAGAAATCCGGTTGGCAAAATTGGGTTTAAAAAAGGCATGTGTGTTACGGGAGGAGAATCTGAAATCTAATCTTTTATTGGCTTCTTCTTTTCTGTCCGAGTTGATTGACAGCTTTTTTTTTGGGTGTGTGACATGACGTGACAATTAAGGACGACAATTTCGTTTAATATAAAAATATATGTACTTCTTTTTATTACAAAACAGAAAATTTTTCGTCTTAGCGTAGGACGGGATGACTCATCGTAAAAATCGACACATTTTTAATCATTTCTCTCCTCTGGGAATTTATTTTAAAATTCTGGGCGACAAATTTGCAGTCAGTGAGTTGATTAATGGAATGACGCCGAGTTTTTCAAGCCAGTTTCGACGAGTTCCAGTTTTTCTGAAGGCTTCTTAAACTTGGGATCTCCTCCTTCAAAAAGTGTCAAAATCTGGAGTGTACATTTTTTTTTAAATTGACTCTACAAATTTGTCGTCCAGAATTTTTAAATAAATTCCCAGAGGCGAGAAATGATTAAAAATGTGCTGATTTTGGTGATGAGTCGTACGTTAATAACTCTTTAAAAGCGTTACTGGTTAAGCGTAATAAATTAAAATTAGTCCAGTTCGTCCATAAGATGAGTATCCTATCCTATTAAATTCGTAATCCTACCTAATTAACACTAATTAATTAATTAGTTAATTAATTAGTGCTAATTAATTAATAATACTAATTAATTAATTAATTAAAGCCTCACGAACTAAATTGACAAGGGAGAGTTTGAATTCCTATTAATTTTTGCATCTCCATTCTGCTGATGGCGATGCGGGTGTCTTCTATGATTCCGACTGGAGGGTGGGAGCAGGCTTCTGTAATAGGCGAAAAGTAGGCCTACGAATACCGCCGCGGTGGAATTGACGACGATGAACCGGCCAATTTTGGCGGCTCGGTAGACCCCAAACTCGTCCCGGACTTGTGGCGTGGACCCAGCAATTCCCAGCATGGAAGCGTCATCCCAGGAAACCAGGGAGCCGGCGCATTCCCACAGGCGCAAGACAAGGACGAAGATGGCGCCCAGTTTTATGACGCCGGGAAGTTTCTGGGGATAGTAAAAGAAGGTAAGGGTAAATTGTGTAAATTAAATTTGCAGAGGTGGGAAAATAATTTGTGAAAATGGACAGGATTTTAGGCTCCGTTTTTGTGGGTTGGAACACCCACAAAAAGACGAAACTCTACGTCGAGAAGACAGAAATCATGCGAAAATACAGGTTTTTGCAAAGAAATTAACTTTTCATCGCTGGAAAAATACTTTATTTTTAGAAAATCGTGAAAACAATGCATTTTTACCCCGACAAAAAGTCAATTTCTTCAAAAATCCTGTATTGTCGTATGATTGCTGTATTCTCGATGCAGATTCTCGCCTTTTTGTGGGTGTAACAATTCCGGAAATCCGGGAGGCACGGGGGTCAAAATACCCTACATATTTTGACCCAGTATTTTCCCAACCTCTGAACTAAATTTTTGGGTAAATTAGGTAGCAGTTTTTCTCAAGTACTCCGATGGATAGCGCATCAAAATCTCCGATCGCACTCAAACTTTTTACACTAATTCTGTATGGGATGAAAAATATTACCCCAACCCCATTTTTCGAAATTTCAATTTTTGGCGAAATTATGGCAAATTTTCAATTTCGTTTTTTTGATTTTTTCTCTCAAATTGCGAATAAACCATTCATCAAAACTATATACTGTCCTATATCATTGTATTCCTATTTTCATTAGGATCTAATTTATGCATCAAAATTTTCCAATTTTTTGAAATTTGTAAAAAGAGTGCTAAATTCTGCTAAATTGATGATCAATTTGCGCAAAACGTTTTCATTTCCCGAGGTCAAATTTCTGAAAATAGATGCCTTTGACTTTGTAGAATAGGGTATAAAAAAATTGACATCGGGAATTGAAAACGTTTTTTAAACTTCAAATTTCAAAAAATCAGAAAACTTATAACAGGCTCTTACGTGGCGCATGTATAAAAAAATCTAGAAGCCTAAATGGCAGGAAATTAAGTGTCGTAAGCCAGTTACTTGAAAATTTGAAAAATAAAAATTATCCAATTTTGATTAAACTTGAATAGCATGCTCAAAATAATGTTTATTTGGTTTTAAAATTATTTAAATTTTAATCCCAAAAATTGGTTTGCGGGCGTACGGAATTACGCCACTGGGAGAGTTGAGCTGTCTCATCTACCCCATGACTTCGAATTTTAGTGAGTACTTGAGAAAAACTGAGCCTTAGGAAAAATTAGCAAATGAATTGAGCCAGCTTACCTTAAAAATTCCTTTAAACAAGAAGAAGGCAAGGATGAGGGAAAACGTGCAGTAGACTGACGCAAAAAAGGCAGAAATTACTTGGGGTCGTACCACCTGAAATAAATTGAAAATTGGAAATTTAGGGAACTTAAATATTCAGTAAATTATGAAGTTGTCGGAGCTGTAAGTAATTCTATTTAAAATCTACTAATTTAATTCTTAATAAAAATTAGTTAAAAAAATGAACGACTCCAAACCTTACCAAATTCCCATATTTGTTCCAATTATATCCGATAAGAATGACGGAAAATGATAAGTCCCAGAGTTTCAGGAGGGTATCAAACTATTCAGATTTTATTAAAACTCATGTAAAATTCGCATTCAATTTTCTGCACTTTTTCAATTTTCATGAAATTTCATAAAATTTCCTACCGTAAAAGCACAGGAACCAAATAGGACGGCAGACTCCAAACTGCAACACCTCGATTTAGCCATGCTTTTTTTGCCGATTATTATGTTTTGATTATTATTTTTTGATTATCACACCTTCACAATGAAATTATCTATTTCCACTTTTATTTCTATTATTGTTCACTAGCAGCAATTATTCTCAGTTTTGGAAACCCGTCTCAATTTGGTCGTCGTACGTAATCACGAAACAACTCCATCATTTGATGCGAAATGTAATTCACTTTACCTCAATTTTTATGAAAACTTTCGCTTCACAAAATCCCAGAAGCCGTATTTTATCTCATTTTTTCCCCACTTTTCTGCAATGAACCAAAGGCGAAGGAGAGACGAAGGGATTAAAATGATTAGAAAAATCTAGTGACACACTTTTACAAAGGTTGGTTTACTAACTAACTACCTACGTCGAGCAAGGTTTCGTTTCTTCGTTACTTGGTCAGAGATGCGAATATTCAAGTAAGAAGAAGGTGATCTTTGCGTTGTTGTGGGCACACTTACTTTTTTTACTGACTTGGTTTTAGTCGTTGGTTTGTTTGGGTGTGCATATGCATGCATATAGCGAAATCGAGGTAACAATCACTTTGACTTTGTGATCTGATGATGCACAAAGGATATTGTTGAATAGGAATATGTAAGCTTGCAAAAAAGAAGAATTATAATACGACTTTGCAGATTAACCCTGAAACGAGAATCACTGCCTGCAAGCAAAGCAAATGACAGGGTGAGAGATCGTAATCATAGGCTGCATATTTCATTCACACAAAAATCATGCCGTTTGTGGGATCAATTAAGCAATGGAGGTGATTATTTAATTGTTATAAATGCACAATTAACTTATTGAGTTTAAAATGGCAATTATTTTGACAATTTTGCACATTTCTGTTTTTAAGTTATAGTTTAAAATAACTTATTTTCCTAACGGACAAGCGTGAATCTTTGAAAAATCATGCTATTTGTGGGATTAATTAAGTATGTACTTAATTTGATGATTATTTAATTGCTTTATATGCGGTTAACTTATTGAGTTTAATTTAAAATGACAATTATTTTGATAACTTGCAACCTAATTTTTGAGATTTAGTCAAGTTATTTTTTTAATAATTTATTTTAAGAAATTTCTTGACATTAACAAGATTGATTTGTTCAAAATGTTTACACAACTGGGCGTGGTTTTCGATACCCAAAGACGGCGTGTCTCTCCTCCAACTCGAGTTTAATCCTGAGGTGGCGAACGTAAAATGCGAGGACGATCATGTAACCGATCGTGGCAAACGTGCGGACGACGAAGCGTCCAATTCGGGAAGATTCCAAGAGGCCGAAGGGGTCCTCCAGGGGAGGGATTGGGTACCACCAACACCACGTCGTGATAAATGCGATGATTTGGAGAATCAGGAAAATTCCAGCGGCGACCAGGATGATGCGAGTTTCCTCCTGGATAAATACATAATTAGAAATTGATGAGGTTTTGGAGATTTGGATAGTTAATTAGTTAGATGATTTCGTACGACTTCAATTCCTCGAAAAATGACGAATCCGAGCAAAATTGCGGCAACAATGTAGATTCCAATCATGACAAAGTACCAGGTCAGGTTAGGCTGTAAACAGAAAAGTTATCATTAAAATCCTAAAATGCTGGCCGACGAATTTCTAGAGAAGATCGTTGACAATTAAAAAAAAATGTACACTCCAGATTTTGACTATTTTTGAAGGAGATTTCAAGTTTAAGAAACCTTCAGAAAAATTCGAAGTAGGGCGTATTTTTCATCTCTGGAAATTTATTTTAAAATTCTGGACGACATTATATCAATGATTTATGGAATGGTGGAGAGTTTTTCGGTTGATTGTGATTCCGCCGTGGCGGTTTCGATGAGTTCCAATTTTTCTGAAGGCTTCTTAAACTTGAGATCTCTTCCTTCAAAAAGTGTCAAAATCTGGACTGGAAACATTTAAAGAAAATGGCAACTACCTTCTCTACAAATTTGTCGTCCAGAATTTTAAAATAAATGCCTACACCCGAGAAATAATTTGCTTAATGTGCAGATTTTAACGATTTTGGCCATGAGTCATCAACGTTAATGGAACCTTTAAAGTACAAATTTACAACAAATATTTACTAACATCATCATCCACGGGACCATACCACCACAATTTGTTGACGTGGATGATGTCGAAAATGAAGGTCCAAAAGAGAAAGAGTGCATCTGCCTGGAAATAAATAAGTTATTATAAATAAATACATAGTTATTATTCTGCAGTCGGAACTAATGAATAATTGACGCGACTTACAATGTGAACCGTGGCTGCAAAGTAGCACCCTCCCTTCAGCGTTGTAATACACATATTTTTTTTTTCAGGGGACAATTTTCAGGAAATTTTGACAAGATTATTCACATGAAAATGTTAGATTGTGATATGCAGGGTTGGATCATTAGAATGAAAATGGAACAAATAATCGTTCTCTCCAGTAGCTCCCTCGGATTCATAATAATATGAACACGGTTGGTGAGTTATTAGCATCTCATTTCCTGTTATGTGTCATTAAAGAAGAATGGCGTTTTAATCCATACGAATACGAGGAGGATAATGACACGGATTAAACTAATTGCTCGTATTGTATGTATCATGATGTCAACAAACTTTTAATTTTAAGCCTAATTTTACGCTGTAATTAATGCATCTGGAGTTTGGCACGGATTTGTTAGGATTTCCTTTACAAGGAGAGAGACATACAGTTTACATAGTTGGAAATCCATAATGCGTAAAAATTGGGATAAATTTAGTCAAACGAAGCGACTGTGTTTTTGTAGACTAGACCTCAGACAATGCTAATAAGATTGGAATGGAAATAATTATATAGGGATAGACGACTAGTCGCAAAAATCAACAAATTTTTCATCATTTATTGGCTCTGGGAATTTATTATAAAATTATGGACGACAAATTTGTAGAGCAGGGAATTGTCAATTTAAAAAAAATATATGTACACTCCAGATTTTGACACTTTTTGAAGGAGGAGATCTCAAATTTAAGAATCCTTCAGAAAAATTGGAATTCGTCGAAACTAGCTCAAAAACTCAACGCCATTCCATTAATCAACTCACTGACTAAAAATTTGTCCAGAATTTTAAAATAAATTCCCAGAGCCGAGAAATGATTAAAAAGTACTGATTTTGACAATGAGTCAGCCAGTCCTACGTTAACAAAATGATCATCTTGTGCCTGCAAAATTTATTGATTTATGAATCATAAAAATTATTCAGTCTGACTCATCAAATAAATTAAGGCTAAAAATATGACTAGATAAACAACTACCTAATTAACTTATAGTCTAATTCTTTTATAAAGCACGTTATGCACGGGGCCCAACGATCTGTCAGAAGCTTCTTGTTTCTCCCATATAAAGTTTTTTAAGGATGCCCAATTCCTCTCGGTGGGGGCGACGTTAAGGCGATCTGAAAGACAAAGAAAGCGTTAAACAAATGTGTAATTTGGAGAAATACACTGTTAGAAAACTGGTATTAAATCATTACTAATCGGAGTTTATATATGACTCTACCACCACCGGCACGGTAATAAGTCATTACCATTTAGCAATGTTGTGCTGCTGAAAAATTTACTTCTGAGAAACAAACTACTACCAATCGGGTAGGAAATTATTACCAAATCAATACCAGTACGGAGTAGATATCTGACTCTACCAGAATTTTAACAGTGTAGGATAGAAATAAATCATATTGATGTATGTATGTACATACCGAGTACACTAGAGGACAAATTAGGCATGACTGGAAATGTGAGGATGGAAGTAATTCTTAGCGTTTCAAAGACCAAGCTGAGCATGGACAATAGGACGGGGTCGGAGGGAGCCGTTTTCGCCAATGCCCATGGTTTTGTATCCTCCACGTACAGATTGGCTAAGCGGATGGTTGTCATTATGTGCTCGAGACCGCGATAGAAAATAAACTCGTTGTAACTCGTCTCCACCTTGTCTAAATAACAATTAGTAAAAATGGTTAGTAAACGTAGGACTCATCGCCAAAATTATCAAAGTCAGCACGTTTTTGATTATTTCTCGGCTCTGGGAATTTATCTTAAAATTCTGGATGACAAATTCGTAAGGCTGAGCAAGCAGTTGCCAATTAAAAAAAACATACACTCCAGACTTTTGAAAGAGATCTGAAGTTTTTAAGAAACCTTCAGAAAAATTGGAACTCATCGAATCTGGATAAAAAACTTACTGTAATTCTATTAATTAACTTGCGGACTACAAATTAGCTGTCCAGAATTTTAAAATAAATTTCCAGAGCAGAGAAATGATTAAAAATGTTTTGATTTTGACGATTTTGGTGACGAGTCCTACGTTAACTCGTTATTTTGACAGGATTGGAAAGTTTTTACTATCAATTTACCAGGCAGTGATTCTAACGATTCTTTAAGAGCAGTTCCGTGTTGACCGAGAGCATCTGGAAAATTTTGGTGGTCCCAGTCCGGCCATTTTTGCCCAGGATTTACCAACTTTCCGCTACAACGACTCAGTAAATTTCCAAATGTATCCGCTAATTCGGCGTTGAGCATTCGTCGCATTTTTTCCTCGGTGAAATCTGAGGTGCAAAAACATGACTAGGTTATCAACAAGTTTTTGCAAATAGATGGATGGACAACTAACTTGCATCGGATTGGGGAGTTCCTTCCCTCAAAAGGAAGTATCGGAGGCCATCGGTCCCATACGTTTTTCCCAGTTCGAACGGGTCGACTACATTTCCTAACGATTTCGACATCTTTTTTCCATCTATGGTCCAATGGGAGTGGCACAAAATTTCTTTCGGGGGCTCTAATCCGGCCGCCATTAAAAATGCGGGCCAATAAATGCCATGAAATCTGGGGAGGAAAAGTAATTATTGAAATTATTAACATTCATATCACTTGATAACTCATTAAAATTGTCAAAATCAGCATATTTTTAATCATCTCTCGGATCTGGGAACTTATATTAAAATTCTGGACGACAAATTTCCAGTCATCAAGTCAATTTATGGAAAGGCGATGAGTTTTTAAACCAGTTTCGATAAGTTCCAATTTTTCTGAAGACTTCTTCGAGTTGAAATTCACTCCTCAAAGACTGTAAAAATCTGGAGTGTATATTTTTAAAAAATTGGCAAAAACCTCTGCTCTACAAATTTGTCATTCAGAATTTTAAAATAAGTATATTCCCAGAGCTGAACAATGATTAAAAACGCGCAGATTTTGACTATTTTGACCATAAGTCATCGAATCCTATGTGAATTATTAATAAAAATTTAACTCTAATAGTTGCCCCTCACTTGATAATATCCTTGCCCACAACTTGTAACGTGGGTGGCCACTGATTTAATTTATCGGGATAGCCAGCAACCGTGAGATAATTCACGAGTGCGTCCAACCAGACGTAAATTACTTGAGTGTCATCCTTCGGGACGGGAATTCCCCAACTCAGCCGTGATTTTGGCCTGGACACGGAAAGATCTTCGAACCCCTCGTCAATCCAACGGAGCAATATGTCCGCAAATTTTTCCGGCTTGATGGGATTACCTGGATAAAATTTAATTCAGGAAATATTCAATTAGACCAAAGTTAATTAACCAAAATTCAGTTAATTATTAATCCGGTGCACATACAAGTTTTAATCCAATGGGAAACATCGGGTAGGAATTTAGTCAGCTTGAAAATGTAATTTTCTTCCTTCGTCCACTCGACGGGGTGACCACTTTCCTCGGAAACTTTGATTGTTCCCCCTTTCCCATCCACTTTCTCGATTAAATTCGACTCGGGAATGAAAGCCTCGTCCGCGATAGAATACCAGCCTTGATACTCGCTCTTGTAAATGTGACCCTGATCGTGTAACTTTTCCTAAAATACAAGATTTAAATATTTTAATGTACTTAGGACTCGTCGCCAAAATCAGCACATTTTCAATCATTTCTCCTCTTTGGGAATTTATCTTAAAATTCTGAACGACAAATTTGTAGTCAGTGAGTTGAATAGCGGTGAGTTTTTTAACCTAGTTTCAATCAGTTCCAATTTTTCTGAAGGCTGCTTAACCTTGAGATCTCCTCCTTCAAAAAGCGTCAAAATCTGGAGTGTACATTTCTAAAAAATTGACAATTCCCTCCTCTACAAATTCGTCGTCCAGAATTTTAAAATAAATTCCCAGAGCGAATAAATACTTAAAAATCTGCTAATTTCAACTTATCATTCATATTTATTTTACCACTCACCCAAAAATGTGACACCGCTTTGAAATGTCTGGGTTCCGTTGTTCTCACAAAATCTGTGCAATCAATACTAAACTGTTGTGTCATGTCTCTAAAGCTTTTTGAAACTTTGTCACAATGTAGGATCGTCTTTCCATCGGGGAGACCTTCCTTTTTTGCAGCCTTTTCAATTTTCATTCCATGCTCGTCCGTCCCAGTGGAGAAAATTGGAGGTAATCCACCCTCTCCTTCCGTTGGCCTCTGTAATTTCCGGTATCGATGATAAGTATCTGCAACAACGGAGGTGTACAAGTGACCAATGTGTGGTTGCGCGTTCACGTAGAAAATTGGTGTCGTGATGAAATGACCGGAAGAAGGAGGGGACGATGGGGGCGGTGGTGGTGGTGGGGGCGATGTTGTGAATTTGCATACTAGGAAATTTGACAGAGGGGAAAATCTTTGACGAAAATGATGTCGAAATTTGACGACTTGAAGAACCATCTCTTTTGTTGTAAAAAGGTGCTGTAAAAAAATTAAAATGAAAGTAATTAGTATTTAGCACTAAATTGACTATCATTTGACCCTAATTAATATTTAAGTAATTGTAAACTTACCGAAATAATTAGATAAAAATTACTAAAATTCCGGTAAATTTATTATTTTCCATTCACCAACACATGAAGAGTTTGGAACCGCTCAGAGAACTCAAAAAAATCTCATCGTACTCGCAATCTGTTACACCTTCAGTCCATGAAATGTAATGCGATTTCCATGCAAAATTCTTAATGGCATCGTAATTGCACATTTTTTACATTTCTTTAGTAATTCAGGTAATTCACCAAAAATTAGGTCAAATTTTGGTTTGTTGAGCATGTTGTTCTTCTATGAAACTAAAGTACATGTGAATTTAATAAAATTGATAACAAATATTTAGCATTATTTCCGGTTTTGTGTATTTGCATATTTATTGCTTATAATCACGATTGGTAATTAATTACACGTTTTGTGACATTTATTTACTTAGTCATTAGTAATAAATAAGTACATTACTTAAAATTTAGTCGAGTTTTGCACGTTTTTTACCCGTTTTAAAACCTCTATGAAACTGAAGTGCATGCAAATTGAATGAAATCAATGACAAATATCTTAGCATTATTTCCGGTTTTGCATATTTGCATATTTTTTGCTTATCATCATCACTGCTTATCAATCATCATCATTATCCTGACAAAATTTACTCTTCATCGCTACTATTGCCATCATCCCCACCCGGATTTTCATACGGGATCAAATCTCTCTTAAATTGAAACATGTCCTTAATCACGGTGACCCTTTTCTTGCCCGGGAGCGGGACCACGGTCGGGTTCCACCGCAGAGAAGGAGGCACCCCGTCCACGTAGCCGTCAATGTGGACACTCAGCTTCTTAAAGTGCTGGCCCCCCTGGAGGAAATAGTTTGCGAAGAATTTCTTGGCGAAGGCCCACGCCACTTGGCCGTCCGTGTTGATGTGCTCGTTAAAATAGGCCCGGTTCATGATGCACTTGTGGAAATAGTGGGAGAGGAAGTGGTCAATTTGGGTTTCGACGTATTCCGAGGTGAACCTGTAGGCCAACGCGTTCACTCGAATCGTCAGACCCCACACGGAATGGGGGCGGATAAGGTCGGCTTCCACGATGTAGCCGATTTGCTTCTCTCCGCTGAAAATGGAGAGGAAAAAATTATTGTTATTTTTGTAAAATTTGATTTTAATTTTGCAAAATTTTGGGTTTATTGCGTTTTAGGGAATCTAAATATTTTTGTAAAAATTAATGTCACCCTGTAAATAATTCAGGAATAGGGACAACTTTGATGACAATTTTTCCCAAAAATTTTCAAAAAAGCACGAAAATTACAAATAACGTCATTTCTTTTGAAAGTTTGATTTAGCTGGTATAAAATTATAGGTCTAACTTTTTGCACCTTTTCCTTTTGAAAATTTTGAAAAAATTTTGAAAGGACAGAGATATGAGCTTTATTCTATTTTTGAAATAATCCCAAGTTTTGGGTCGGGTTTTAAGAAAAATAGCGTCCCACGACTTTAAAGTTTGATTGAGATGGTATTAAAAAATGGAATTCGGTAAATTTTGATAAAAATTTTGATAACTTTTGAACGGGTAGAGATACCGAGTTCATTTTTCTTAGGTGAAGGAAAAGTAACCATAAAGTGATCATGTTAAAAGATCACCATGGTTACGGCGAAGCCTAGGTATGCATTCAGCTGCAACTTTGAGAAACTCCCACTGAGATTTCTCCCCAACCGTTCGTTGTACGGAAAACATGTTGAAACAAAATAGTTAGAGAATTCGGTTTTACAGTGACATTTTTCTTATTTTTCCAAAATTCCAATTCCTTCAGGTGGAAAGTCCGATGCCTAAATTTTCAAATCTATTTCTTGGCACCAAGGAAATGTTTCCGACGGGGGCTTGCCATTTTTACTATTCTCCTGGATAATACGCACATTTTAAGCCTTTATTAGACTTAATCGGATGAAAACTCATGGAATTAGAGCGTTTTGAAATATTGTCATTAAGCAACCTATTTACGTGGTGTTAGGTTACTGGTTGCTAACGTATGCTAATAATGTCAGGTTTATTTTTTATTAGCATTACTATTTCAACATATGTAACATTCCTTAAAATTCTGAAAAATTAAGCATTGATCAAATTCCATGAAATACAATAATAATAACTAATAATAATAATAAATAACTAATCCACCCACTCGGGATTAAATTAGTATGCCACGCATCCACCCATAGGAAAGTTCACAACGTTTAAGAATTGATATTATGATTTTATACATTTAAGTTCACACTTCACTAAAAATAATTAAATAAATACATTTAAAAAAACAAACTTAGGTGAAGGACGCGCTTAAAATATTAAAACAAGAAGCATTACAAAATGTTACAATATCGTTTAATATTTAGTAACTTTTCTTCACCGGGGGCCCAACTAACAGAAAAAATACTTTCAGGCATTTTGTGTAAACGAAATACGTAATTTTTATATAATAAACTTGCTAGATTTGAATTATTATCTTTCAATAAATAGTGACTTTGCACATTTGGTATAGAGAAAATTTGCCCACATTCTGACTCATTTTAATTCCTGAAACAGGTAGACTTTTCGTTTTAATTGGTTAAACAAGTCGCTCTTTTAGTTGCATTTAGTGTTACTTATCGCTGTGAAAATGAAATAGGTAGTTGGGCCCACGGTGAAGTAAAAGTTACTAAATGTTAAACGATATTGTAAAATTTTGTAATGCTTCTTGTTTTAATATTTTAAGCGCGTCCTTCACCTAAGTTTGTTTTTTTAAATGTATTTATATCTTTTAAATAATCCTAATTTCTGGGTTGATTTTTAAGCAAAAAATCCCAACGGACATAATTCTTAAAGTAATAGCTTAGGAAGTGGTCACTTTTATTATTATTTTTTTAAAATATTTTCTCTCTCACCGCCATACCTGTTAAAAAATTTAGCTTTCATTTAAAACTCAGTCATCCTGATTTCTGACTGGAAATTTTCATTCGCATTCAGTCATTCTCATTCAAACTCATTTCATTTCACTTCATCGGACTTCATTTCTTACTTCGCCCATGTATTAAGCATAGGGTAAAAAATGAAGGAGTGAAAAATCCTTTCATTCACAGTCATTCATCCAAAATGAAGGAATCCTTCAGTCATTTTGAGGAATTTCATTTTCATTCATTATCATAATCAGTCAAATGAATGAAAGTGAACAGGTATGCTTACCGCAAAAAGTAGTAGACTTCATCATGCAAATTTTCCACAATTTTATACGCCGCATAAGCATCCCCGATTTCGACGCCGATTTGATAATAATTTAAGACCCAATTATGTGCCTCGAAAGGGTTGAAAGCATTCTTCTTAAAACTCCATTCTCTCCCGTCTTCGGGCAACTGGAGGCGTTGATTCCTCCCAATTCTTTGCCGCCTGGTCTTATTTCTCGCCTCAAATTTCAAAGCTCTCACCGTTTTCGAAACAATTTTGGCATCCTGTTTCGAAACACAGCCGGAAAGTTGCACCTCGATTTTCATCTCGCTCTTAAAACGGGTGATAAACTCGATCAAATGTTCTCGCGTGGTGACGTCTAAGAAATTAATTAATAATTAATTAATTAAGGTATGACTTGATGGCTCATTATGGTCAAAATCAGCACATTTTTAATCATTTCTCTCCTCTGGGAACTTATTTTAAAATTCTGAACGACAAATTTGCAGTCGGTGAGTTGATTAATGGAATGGCGTCGAGTTTTTTGAGCCAGTTTCGACGAGTTCGAATTTATCTGAAGGCTTCTTAACCTTGGGTCTCCTCCTTCAAAAAGTGTTATCTGGAGTGTATATTTTCAAAAAAAAATTGTGAACGCCCTGCTCTACAAATTAGTCGTCCAGAATTTTAAAATAAATTCTCAGAGGTGAGAAATGATTAAAAATGTGCTAATTTTGACGATAAGTAGGGACAATTGAGAACACCGTTTCAGAAATATACGCTCCAGATTTTGATACTTTTTGAAGGAGGAAATTTCAAGTTTAAGAAGCCTCCAGAAAAATTGGAATTCGTCAAAACTGGCTCAAAAAACTCGCCACCATTCCATTAATCAACTCACTGACTTCAAATTTATCGTCAGATAAATTCCCAGATCGGAGAAATAATTAAAAATATGCTAATTTTTTTGACGAGTCATCGAGTCCAACGTTAAGTAATTATTTCTCAATTATAATTTAGTACTGTTAGTAAACGACTGCGCATACGTCCTCCTGCTGCAAATATGCTTATCTAAAATGAGCTGGAGTAACTTCCCCGTAAACTTTTCCGGATTAGCTTTCTCCTCATCCAGCCTGTTTAGTATCTCTTCGACCACGTTGTCATACAGGGTGGGCGTGATTCTTCGCTCTAACTCGTGGAAACAGGACACCATGACTTTAAAAATTCTCGTCATCTTGTCCGACGGCCCCATCAGGGTGACCATCAACTCGTCGCAGTTCTTGTTGACGGCAATGGTGAAAATGGAGGCCACCGCGTCGGCCAGTTTGACTAGAACGAGGTCAAGGTATGGTTCCCGAGTGCTCCTCGTGTCCAGGGTACCGACCATGTTTTTTAGAATCTCCCCAAGGATTCATTCATATTTCCGTCTATAATTCAAATTCGGCGCTGTTGCGTGGCGTCAAACTTGAAAATCAGGACCAATTTCAAAAGGTCAAATTTATTGCGCCCAAGAAAATAATATTTTGTTCCAAAGAAAATTAATAATTCTCTGCAATCATGAAATCTGCAATCGAGTTAATTTTTTCCTCCAAAGAAAATATAAAACGTTCCAAAGAAATAGTGAAATATTCAATGATGAATAATTCGAGTCTTATGTAACAATTTGGTTATCAGACAAGCCTACATTTGCATGCTATGCTTTGACTATATGTACAAATGTGTCCCATCATTCACATTCAGCCTTCTGTTGATATTACTTTGCATCTTCAGTGAAGATTCTTCACTCAGTAAAGCTTTATAAAAAAGTAAGCTCTAGTACCTACGCACAATCAGATACTTACTTCTTGTCACGTAGATAAAAATATTGTATAATATAATTTAAAAAATGTCGGGTTTTAAACGACTAAATAATTTCGAATCAAATTCTGATGATTCTGAAGAAGAAAATACACCACCTCTTAAAAAGCAAAAACATGTCCATAGCTGGAAGAGGACAAAAACTTTTAATACCCTGGCTGAGGCAAAACTGTATATTAAAAACCTTAGCCATTTTCAATTCAAAACATGCAGTTCTTGCAGTGATGGTGAAAAACTCTACTATAATTGCAAAGTAGCCAATTGTCTCAGCAAAATTTTTTTGCGCAAAAAAGATAACCTCGTATTATAATGATGTATATCTATTATTTATTTCTATAAAACTTTTATTGTAATGCAATACTAATAGTTACTGAAAACGATTATAGAAAACAACCTTGAAATCGACTACTACGAAACGGATGCGCCACACACTCATGAAAACGTTAAAATTGTTGGGATAAAAATGGAAGTTAAAGAAAAAATAAAGCATTTATTCAAAGATGGGATAACCAAACCAAACCATATAATTTCACACTTAAGAGATGCAGGAGCTGAGATTCCCTCAAAAGTGCAGCTAAATAATTATTTGTCGACGTTGAGAAAAACACAAGGGCCACCAATTCTATCATTAGGCCAACTCTGTGAACTATGTGATGAGAACGAAGCCATTCCTTCTGATCAAGACCACCCATTCTTTGTCGGAAAGAAAATTCACTATGAGGACAAAACATTTCAATGTATTTCCCCAGCCAAACAACAAACACAGAGTGCAGAGGAAATCGACAGAACGTTGGGGCTTATAAAACGAATGTCATGGAAAAAATTTGACTCGTATTCAACAAGCAAATCAAAGCTACGGATAATTGATTTCCATTTATGAGACTGGATTACGTCAAGCTGTACTTGCCCTGTTTTTAAGAAAGAGTACATTTGCAAGCACATAGTTGGCATTGCAATAATCAAGGAAAAAATCACTGTCCCCGATAATCTCAAAACGGATAGTGTTGGAGCAAAATCTAAACGTGGGAGGAAGAAGTTAGTTGGAAAGGCTTTGGTCATTGACTAATATTCCCTTGAAATTTTATTTCAATTATCTATGATATATATTGTAAATCTTGTATTTTTTGCATTGAGATTTTTATTATTTGCTTGGAGTTTATTCTAAAAATCTTGGAATACAAAATTAATTAATTGCAAGATCTATAATTGGAACAGAATATTAATTTTCTTTGGAAAAAAAATATTTTTCTTGGGTGGTTTAATTGGGACCCAATTTCAAACCTCTATAACTTTTACAGTTTCTGCTGGATTTTGGTTTGTATCATGATTTTAGTTCAAAAATTTTGAAAATCCGCCCAATTATGTTGGATTTTCAAAACGTTGTGCTTAAAATGATAACAAAAGTCGAAGTTTTAAGGGAAAATAAATTATTTTTTGTAATTTTTGAGACATTTTTACGATTTTTTCTTGTTTTCTTTGTTATAATTTTAGTAAAAAAATTAAAATCCGTCCAGGATTTCAAAATAAAAATATGCAAATTTGGCGAATGTGACGCCACGCCACGCCATGGCGCCAAATATGAATCCTTCGTCTAGGGTCGTAGCAGATTCTAAAAAAAAACATGGTAGCCACCCTGGACACTCGCAGCAATCTGAAAGCATACCTAGTAAGATGTGTTCGAAACAGGTCGCGAGCAGGGTCATGAGGGGATAAGTGCCCGTCTGCATGGCCCCCATGCCAAGGTCACTCTTCACTTCGAAATAGTAGGACGCCGTGGAAAGGTAGCCGAGTCGACAGTTTTCGGGGAAACAGACCACGAGGAACTTGTCGTTGTCGAGGAGGATGTATTGCGCGGGAGATGACGAGGATTTTCCAGAAATGGGGAAGCACTGACTCCCCGTGGCGTAACGGTTTTCACGAGGTAGGGAATATTTGGTGGAGGAGGAACCCCATTCTGTGAGGAAATGGAGGAGAGGAGTTGAGGAAATTTTAGAAATTTGGAAATTTTAGAGGGGGGGGAATTAAATTATTTATTTACTTTTTCCCAGCCAGGACGCCCACCGCCCGTAAATGTTGTACTCTAAATAATAATAAAAGTGGTCAAAATATTCCGATAATTCATTCGGTTATGCATGCGTTAACTGTGCGGAAAAATTTTGCAAAAGTACAATCTTACACAATTTTTGCAAAATTTGATTTTTTTAATTCTTTAAAATTTTTTCGTAGACAATTTACTGGAATGTTTGCGTAAATTTTGTGTAAAATTTTTGAAAAATTATTGTACAACTTTTGTAAAATATTTATAAAATGACATTAATTTCTGTGAAATTCATACTATCTGTTTAAAATTATTTTGCAGACAATTCACTAGGATATTTGTACTCATTGTGAGTGCAAAAATTTTGTAAACTTACGGTACAGCTTTTGTAAAGTAAAACGCCATTACTGATTTTTGTGTAATTTACTCTTGGTAAAATTAATTTTTAGATAATCCACAACTTCAAAATTTGGAAAAAAAACTGTGAAACAACACTGTACAATTTGTGTAAAATTGATTTTTGCAAAGTTTACAATTCTTTCGCATTCTAATTTTCCCACAGAGTTTACTAAGAATCCCTTGTGAATTTTTTGTAACATGTAAATTACTCACCAGTCAGAAAATTGTGGTCGTGCACGCCGTACTTGATGTTATACCAGGAAATGGTCATGTCATGAATGGGGAAGGATTTGCTGGCCAGGATGGCATTCGCATTCGAAGGATCGAGAAGTAGGTCGATCGTTTCGCGAATGAAGTCCTCGTCCCATTTGTGCGAGACGAAAACGTCGAGTAAAACGTGCGGAATTTCAGACTCTTCTTGGATCAGGAGGAATTTTGAAAACATTCGGAAAATGTTGACGTTCCTGTCCCTGTCGTCGATTCCTCCTGGGATTAAAATCGTAATTAGTTAGTTAATTAATCGGGATTAAAATCTGATTTAAAGCGTTCATAATTCGGTTGTGGATAAGTATTTATCAGGAAAAAGCCAGGATAATTGCCAAGTCGGACTTCGTATAGTGATCATAAATCGTTACAATCATACTTAACACTTTCGTAACTTGCGCCATAGTTAAAGTATAACATTGGCGCAAGTGGACTTTAAATAATTCCGAGCTGGATAAGCACATTTTATGAAAAATGCACGATAATTACCACAGCGTCCCATCGCTTGGTAGTGGTCACAAATCGTTACCTTATACTCGACTCTTTACCAACTTGCGCCGTAGTTAAAGTATAACATTGGCGCAAGTGTATGGATGGATTGTAAATAATTCCGAGGTGGATAAGCACGTATTACTAAAAAATAAATGTACAATAATTACCAAATCGGTAACGTCTCCCATGACTTTGTACTGGTCACAAATCGTTACCATCACTCTTTCCCAACTTGCGCCATACTTAAACTATTATAACATTGGCGCAAGTGTATTTAAAAAAAATTAGTTACCGGGATTGATATCATCGATGAAATGGATGGCTGCAAT